TTAATCCTAAAAACTACAGAGATTGAGGAAGGTTTTCAGTATGGAGTCCTCACAGGAAACTATTACAGTGAATGTATATGAATGTATAATATAATTGCTAATTAAAAAATACTTATTTCAAGGAGCTATTGGCAATTGATAGCTGCTGGGAGACAGGGAATTAGCTCTCTTTAATAGTGTAGCAATGGCTAAGTTGTCCATGCTTCACTGGAAGGCCACACAGCCAAGAACATATGAGCAGCACAGATTGGCCTCGGTGAGCTTTAAAAAGACAAACCCCAAGTTGGGTACGTAAGGTATGGGGGTGGCTCTAGGGGGAGTTGGGGAAGGGGATGATTATACTCAAAACACACTGAAGTTCTCAAAGGTTTAATAAAATTTTAAAATAAAAATACATGCATTAGCAGGGTGTGGTGGAGCAAGCTTTGGGGGAAGATAGGAAAATCAGGAGTTCAGGGTCGTCTTCTGGCCCATCAAATTTGAGGCTTGGCTGGGACGAATGAGATGTTGTCTCAGAAGTCCCAAACAAAAACATATTTGCATAAGGACAATAAGAGATTAACTCCAAAATGAAATGTGTTTGGATAAGAATGGTTAAGTTACAAACTCCTCTTACTGTTCACTCCACCACACCTTACCAAGTAGTAATTAACTTCACTTTTGCATGGTCTAAACAGTGAATTTATTCACTATCTGCTAATCCCTTCCCCACCATGACCAATGCAGAGAACATTCTTTTGTGCTTACTAGACATTAACCTTGTCTGGTGTGGTATAATTAAAGTTATTTTTTTTTTTAAAAAATTGTCTTCTTAGGGTTGGAGAGATGTTACAGTGCTTAGGAACACTTGTTCTTGCAGAGGACTGGGGTCCAATTCCCAGCACTCACACAACAGCTCACAGCGGTATGCAACTCCAGTCTCAGGGGAACCAACACCTTCTTCTGGCTCTCCATGCAGAGTATATAGACACATGCAGACAAAACATCCATACACGCAAAATAAAAAGAAAACAGTGGTTACTAATGGGTATATCAAACAAACAATAACTCCATTTTTAGAAGTTTTTTAATGACTGTTTAATCAGCAGTTTTGAAGTCTCCTTGTTGTTTGTCCAGGGTGTTGTGAGAGACTTCTCCAGGTCAGTGTGCACCTTTACATCCACCCTCTGAGTTAGGTTCAATTAGTATTGTTTTAGACACCAGTGACGTCATAGTCCTGGCTTTTGGTCCCCCTGTGTGTTGTATGTGTCTAGAGAAGTCACGTTTATATATCCACTTTCTGAATTCTGTGAACATGAAAAACGTTCAGGGGACTTGGGGATTGCTGTTGTTCCTTCTGGCTTATATAGCTCCATCTCCTGGAGATTTTCAATTGGCAATACCAAACCTGTTCCTGAGAAACTGAGAAAGGCCACAAGTGAAGACATAAACATACATAGAACTTCCTGGCAGAAATTTAGGGCTACTGGATATGGCATTGATAGGATGTCAGCACTTTACAGCTGTCAGTATAAAAGAAAACAAGAAAATAAAGGCTACCAGAAGTCCATGCTCGTGGATTATCCCCTGCTGAAATTTTCACTCTGTAGGACTGAAAGGAGGTGTGAGAACAGACTGGGGCAGATTTAAAAACTAAATGCAGGAAAGGGAAAAAACAAAACCCAAAGCTATGTTTTCTCAAGCCAGCCACTCAGAACCAGAAGGAGCCATCGTAGGTGTGCAGATAATGATGGTCTTGATGTAAATGACTCACCTGGAACTCTGTAAAGGTAGTATCTTTCTGAGTATTTCAAAGGTAGCATTGTCACTGATTACTGTTTCCTAAAAGAAAAAATATTATAGCTTTAAAAAATTTATTTATTTATTTAATTTTATTTTTGGTTTTTCGAGACAGGGTTTCTCTGTGTAGCTTTGGAGCCTATCCTGGCACTCGCTCTGGAGACCAGGCTGGCCTCGAACTCACAGAGATCTGCCTGCCTCTGCCTCCCGAGTACTGGGATTAAAGGTGTATGCCACCAATGCCTAGCTATTATTTTGTTGTATGTATGTATGTGTGTATATGTGTTAGATTCCCCGGAGCTGGGGTTACAGGTGGCTGTGAGCCACCTGATGTGGCTGCTGCGAAGTAAACTCAGGTATTTTGCAAGAACAACAATTACTCATAACCACTAAACAATTGCTCCAGCCCTATTCAATCTTTATAATGATAAACCACTGGCAATATGATCCTAGAACTTATGGTGTATAGACAATGATTCATAAAACTGATTTACTGCCAGGAAACAACACCTCATAGTACAAACAATATAAGTATAAATAGGTATAGAATGAAAGGTTGCTTGCCCTCCCCCTACCAATGCCTTCTCACAACCCCCCTCTTCTTTCTCCTCTCCCTGCTCCCCCATCTTGTCTCTCTCAACCTCTATCTATCTATCTATCTATCTATCTATCTATCTATCTATCTATCTATCTAGAACAACTGAGGCAGTGGTAGAGATTGAACTCGGGCCCTGAGTACTCAGACAAACATTCTACCACTAATCTCCTGATTTCTTTCTTTTCCCATTACATTTATTTGTTTGTCTCTGTGTGTAGAGGTCACAAAGCATCTTGTGGGAGCTGGATCTCTCCCTCCACCATGTGCATTCTAGGGATGGAAACTCAGTTGTCACACTTGGCAGCAAACCTCTTTACCTGCTGAGCCATCTTGCTGGCTTCTTCCTTCCTTCCTTCCTTTTTTCCTTCCTTCCTTATTTCTTTTTTTCTTTCTTTCTTTCTTTCTTTCTTTCTTTCTTTCTTTCTTTCTGTTTTTAGAGACAGGGTTTCTCTGTGTAGCCTTGGCTGTCCTGGAACTCACTCTATAGACTAGGCTGGCCTTGAACTCACAGAGTTCCGCTTGCCTCTGCCACCCAAGTGCTGGGATTAAAGACATGTGCCACCACCACCTGGCTCTGGCTTGTTTCTTGATTTCTTTTTCATATAAGTCATCATTAGTGTACTGAAATACTTGATTTTTATATGATCCTGCAACTTGACTGTATTCTTTTCTTGTTCTAATACAGAGGGAGTATGGAGCAGTTATGATTTTCTGTATGTGAGATCATATCACCAGCCAACAGGGACACTTTCACTTCTTCCTTTCCTGTTTGGAAGCATCTTTGCCAAGTTGCCCCATCAAGGACTTCCAGCACTGAACAGACGAGGTTAGAACGGAAATGTCTCATCTTGTTCTTGATCTTAGGAAAGCTTTCAGCCTTCACCTGAGTCCCATGTTAGTTGTGTCAGTCGGACATGGACTTTATTATCTTCTTGTGAGCTTTATGACTTTACAAATAAAATGTTCCTTCCCAGAAAAAAGATAAAAGCTGGCCATGGTGGCTCGTGTCTGTAATCTCAGCATCCAAGAGACTGAGGCAGGAGGATCAATGTGAGTTTGAGGTTAACCTGGGCTATAGAGTGTGTTCCAGTCCACCAGGGCTATGGAGTAGGGGACTCTGTCTCAGCTCTCCTGCAAACCAACAGGGCCAATAATGACAATAATAATGATGACAAAACCAGAGATGAACACAGATCAGATTTTACAGGGGTTTACTAGTTTCCCTGAACTAGATAACAGTTTAATTTTTGATACAGACCAAGTAATTCATACAAGAAATTCCCAGTAACCCTGAGGGGAATGATAAGCTTATATATTGTTTTTTTTTTTCAGCAAGAATTAAAACATTACACCTCCGAAGGATGGTTCTTAAGATTCAGAATGTTCTAAAGGGAGGAGAAATGTGCCATCCCATAGGCAGATGCTTTAAATTTAGGACTTAAACAACTCAAAAGCTTCAGGAAATCCCTGAAATGGGCCAGATTCACTAAGCTCCTTAATCTCTAAGCTGATACACTATAAGAACTGCTAAAAGACACAATCAGACCAGCTGAGCTGCCTGGAAGGGACTTTCCAACCTGTTAAGCTGCCTGCAGGTTGTGCAGTGTGCTCTAGGTTTCCAGCTTGCATGAGCTGTCACCCATGCTGGGGTGGGCTTTGATGATGCAGCTGTCTTTTGGTCATTTCTGCTCCTGTAAGAGACCCCTCACTCATACACTCCTGTAAGTGACCCTAACAAACTCATTGGTTCACCAAGACAGACTTTGGTGATATTCATACTTTGGTCTGTTGTTTATTCCCTGAGGGGTTATGGCAGAGCACCAGACCTTAGCACAACTGACTCCATGATTTTCCATTCAGATCATAAAACTCAGTACATAGACAGCACCACCTGCCAAAACAAAAACAAAGACCTAATCCATCAAACTCCATAATTCTAGGAAAGTCTCTAACTAAATATACTAACCTTGCCTTTTAACTTCTGTAGTTTCACTTCTGGCTAAGTGTTCTTGTTAACGGAAGTATGTCAACCAGTACATATTTTTTTGTGCTTAAACACTGACCTGAGAAAGGCTCAGTGCTACAGTGGGATCCTGAACACTCAGTGTATCACTGGCTGGCCAATAATTTTGTTTGTTTGCTTTAGTTTTCTTTTCTATTTTTTTCTTTTTGTTTTTTGTTTTCAAGATAGGGTTTCTCTTTATTACTTTGGAGCCTGCCCTGGAATTCGCTCTGTAGACCAGACTGGCCTCAAACTCACAGAGATCCACCTGCCTCTGCCTCCCGAGTGCTGGGATTAAAGGTGTACGCCACTAACGCCTGGCTTGCTTTGGTTTTCAAGACAGTGTTTCTCTGTGTAGCCATGGTGGTCCTGGAACTCATTCTGTAGACTAGGCTGGTCGCAAACTCGGAGATTCACTAGCCACTGCCTCCCAAGTCCTGGGATTAATGATGTGCACCACTAATTCCTGGTTAATAAAGGCTTTCTATTGGCTTAAAACCCATTCCGAGTAGTCTTCTCTGGTGAATACTCACAATAGGGTGAGCAGACATTTGTATATTTCTCCCCAGGAATAGTGTCTCACAACTTTATATGTGAAAGAAAAAAAAAACATTTTGAGAAAGTGCTAATCAAATAGAAATTTTGTTGAGTTGAGGAGATCTAGGCTTGATCCTATTTCTGAGTTACACTGGGACAGGCCCCTTTACCTGAATTTGGGTTCCCATATCTCTAATTTTAAGATAGTTAATGTCTAATTTTTCAGTGTTGATGTGAAATTAAATAATATAAACACGCTTCGCATACACCCAGCACACCTCGCTTGGCAACAGGCACATGGCACTTAACACATGTTGGGCTCTCGTCCTCTTAGCCCCTGAGGCATTGAATATAAGGGAGGGGTATCAGTGATATGTCTGATTTCCAAGCCCTACACTTGGACTGTTGGCAGTGTGTGAGAGCCGTCACAGAGCATCAGGTTGGAAGATGTGAGCATAGCTGCAAGGGAGGCCTCTCGGAGTTTTATTTCTCTTCTGGATAAAATACCGGAATTGAATTGGTGTTTCTTCCATTCTTTCTTTCTTTTTTATTCAAGACAGGGTTTCTCTGTGGCTTTGGAGGCTGTCCTGGAACTAGTTCTTGTAGATCAGGCTGGTCTTGAACTCACAGAGATCTGCCTGCCTCTGCTTCCCGAGTGCTGGGACTAAAGGCGTTTGCCACCACTACCTGGTGAATTGGGGTTTTCTTAGGTTCATATGTTTAAGAGCAACTTTGGAGTTGTTTGCTTCAGTAATATCAAGATGTTCAAGTGGGTGCTTCTCTTACATTCAGGCTATTGAGCATGGTGTAACACAGTTCTGACCATATGACATTTATTATCTGTTTTTGAAGATAAGATTGTGGATCTCAAAGGTGTGAGTTTCTGCATAATCTCCAGTAAGTATATATATTTTTTGTAGTAAGTATATTTTTATTTAGTTATTTTGAAACAGGGTATCACTATGTAGCCCTGGCCAGCAAGCCCTGGGGAGCTTCATATCTCTGCTTCCCAGCTTGAGGATCACAGGCACAGTGTAGGAATGATGCCACATCTAGCTTTTACATGCCAAGGTGCTTGGGATCCAACTTAGGTCCCCATATTCACACAGCAAACACTTTATCAACTGAGCTAGCACCCAGCCCTAGTGTTTTTTTTTATTGTTTTTTTGCTTTGTTTTGTTTTGATAGGGTTTCACTGTGTAGACCTTGCTGCCCTAGAATTTCCCAGGCTGTGTAGACTAGGCCAGCTTCAAGCTTACACAGATCAGCCTGCCTCTGCCTCCAGAGTTCTGGGATTAAAGACATGTGTCACCATGTCTGGCTTCTTGTTTGTTTTGTTTTAAGACAGGGCTTTGTGCATGCTAGGCAGTCACTCTACCAACTGAGCTGCATACTCAGCCCAGCCCTGTTTTTACATTATTTATTTATTTATCTATTTATTTATTGTGTGTGTGTGTGTGTGTGTGTGTGTGTACACCCACACATTCACAGCACAGTTTTTTTTTTTTTTTTTTTTCAAGACAGGGTTTCTCTGTGTAGCTTTGGAGCCTATCCTGGCACTCGCTCTGGAGACCAGGCTGGCCTCGAACTCACAGAGATCCACCTACCTCTGCCTCCCGAGTGCTGGGATTAAAGGCGTGCACTACCAACATCCGACTAAGCCCAGCTTGTTTTTTTAAATTATATTAATTAATTAATTTGTGTGTATATGGGGGCCAGAGGACTTGGTTCTCTTCTCTGACATGTGAGTACCAGGGAATGCTCAGGTCTTCAGACTAAGGCCACCCTACCAGTCCAGCCCTGTTGGTTTTTGTTGTTGAATGTATGTATGTATTTATGTTGTTGTTGTTTTGTTTGTTTTTGTCATTGTTGTTGAGACAGAGTCTTATGTATTCCAGGCCAGCCTTGAAATCTTTAAGTAGTAGAAGCTAGTTTTGAACTCCTAACCCTCCTGATTCAGAAGGAGAAGAACCTTCCAAAGGGAAGCCTTACAGGTGATGTACACCAGGGAAGGTTGGAATCAGCCTGTACCCTGGATCCAGCATCTCAGTTTTCACTGGCCTGACTCTGGACCTCGACTGAGCCTATATTACTCTCCACAATTCTCTTTAGTTATTTGTCTGTTTGAATTTGGACATATTTTCCTTTGACTCAGTTGTTCTCCTTAGTCTTGACTCGTTAACAGACTAAACTAGCTTCACTTGACCTTTCCATGCCTAAGATTTGTTATTCTTTCTTTCCAAGCAGGGCTAGAATAGTACACTGCAAACAGGGAATGTTCAGAAGGAGGCATATCTAGGACAAAATTTAGCATTCATTCCTTGTCAAAGGATTCCAGAGCATCTGTCTGCAGATATGGTCAAGTATGTGCTCTATCTGTCCACAGATACAGTCATGTATGAGGTATGCCTGTCCTCAGGTATGGTCATGTATGAGCTATGCCTGTCCCTAGATATGGCCATGTATGAGCTATGCCTATCCTCAGATATTGTCATGTATGAGCTATGCCTGTCATCAGATATGGTTCTTGCTCTCTAGGACCTTGCTTCTGAGTTATTGATCTAGAGAAGAAAAAAAGTAATGACAATGTATGTTAAGAAAGACGCTGAGAGCCAGGCATTGGTGCCACATGCCTTTAATCCCAGCACTCAAGAGGCAGAGGTAGGCAGATCTCTGTGAGTTTGAGACCAGTTTGGTCTACAAGAGCTAGTTCCAGGACAGCCTCCAAAGCCACAGAGAAACCCTGTCTCGAAACCATCCCCCCCCCCAAAAAAAAAAGAAAAGAAAAGAAAGGAAAGATGCTGAGAGGCATACACAGATGGTTTTGGGATCACACAATATAAAAGTGTTATCAAAGTTGACCCAATGATGAGCAGGGTTCACCAAGAACAGTCACAGGTTTGCTGCCCCATGTGCCCCAGAGAAGCCTCTCTGCCACAGCTCACTGTGCAGCCAGGAGCAGGCTGTGGTTCTAAGATCATGAACCAAGAGAGGGCAGGGTGAACCAGTGAGCCAAACCTTAGAGTTAGGACCCAGTACAAATCTTACTTCCACTCTGTGAATCTGGATGCTCCTCACAACACGTTCTAAGAGACTGATATGCTGCTTGAGCCGGAGGCAATTTTCCTGCAACTGCTGGTTTTCTTTATCCAGTAAAAACGCCCTAAACATGGCATAAATCAGAGGCATAGCTAGAAATTGTCTGTGCAGGGATCAAACACAGGGCCTCATGCGTGCTAAGCATATGCTTTATCACTCCTATGCAACCCCTCCCCCCATGTCACCCTCTTTAATGCCACAGTGGCTGCCACTTGCATCAACTATTGGAAGCAGAGGACAGCAGAACAGACTCACAGGACTGGCCAGGACCTCACCCCCTCTCCACCCCCCCACCCCTACCCCAGTCTCCAGAATCACTTGTGTGCCACTGCACCTACTTGCTCTGGATCGAAGAGATTGTGGACTTATTCCTGCAGATCAGTTCTTCTTGATTTGTGACTTGTTCTAGAAGCTTCCTCTTTTCCAGGAGGAGGATGTCATTTTGGGTCATGATCTGGCCCTGGAACGCCTTCTCCTAGGAGAGGGAGAACAACATATACACGAATGAGCTTCAGTCTGTTCCCAGGTCTGCACAGGAACTCTGGCTTTCTCTCTTTCTCATCCCCAATTCTGCTGGCGCCTGTTTGCTGGCATCATCCTTAGTTACACCAGATGCTCTCCTGTTGGTGTATTTACTTAGGGAATGCATGAATTCACAATCAGGAATACCAAGGCAGGCTGGACAGTGGTGGTGCATACCTTTAATCCCAGTATTTGGGAGGCAGAGACGGCAGAATTCTGTGAGTTTGAGGTCAGCCTGGTGACAGAGTGAGTTCCAGGATAGCTAAGGCTACACAGAGAAACCCTGTCTTGAAAAACAAAACAAACAAATTAAAAAAAAAAGGAAAAGAAACACCGTGACACTCAATTTCTGGGAAGAAACAATGTCTTCCCTGCATTTTAATTCCTACAGATATTAAACCATCAGCAAGTACAACTGACTCCTATGTTTTGATAAAATCTTGCCCCTGGATACATTTTCATCTGCTTTGTAGGTATTTTGTTGTTGTTGCTTTGAACAGAGAATTGTTATATATCCTAGGGTGATATTCCTCCTCAGCACTGAGCGTGCTGGGATTACAGACATGTGCCATCATGCTCGACTTGCTGTGTTCTCTTTTAATTTGTTGATTTATTTTAAACATTTATTTGTGTATGGGTGTGCAGCACTCCATGTATGTGGAGGTCTCAGTATAAGCAGCAGGAATCAGTTTTCTCCTTCCAACATGTGGGTCCTGGGGATTGAACTCAGGTTGTCAGGCTTGGCAGCAAGTGTCTTCACCCACTGAGACATCTGGCTGGCCCATAGCTATATTCATTTTTAGGCAGATGGAGAAAGATAAGAACTTAGCCTCCTCGCCATTCCTTAGATAAATCAAATTACCACACATCTAGTGGCTTTACACAACAGAAATTTATTTTATCACAGTTCTAGGGGGCTAGAAGTCTGGAATCAAGATGTTGCCAGGTTAGTTTTGGTGACCCAGAAGGTCTCCCTGTCAGTATTGGAGGTTGAACCCAGGCCCTTGTGTCCATTAGGGAAGTGCTCTATGCTGAGCTGCACCCCAAGCCCACACAGGAAGATTGTTCCAAGCCTCCTCCTGTTGCATGGTTGCTGGGCATCCTCCATGTTCTCTGGCTTTATAGACAGAGCCTTCTCTCTGCCTATGTGCTCCTGGGGTGCTCCTTCCCATGGGATGTGTCCTTGTCCCTGCTCTGCCACTCCTCTTACAAAGGCACAGGCACTTGCACTTTCAATTCACTCTCATCTAGGGTGAACTCATTTTAATTGATTATACCTGCAAAAGCAGGATTTCCAAATTGGTAGGTTGCATTTGGTACTCTATGAATTTGGGGGACACTGTCTAACCAAGTTCATGTACAAATATACACACACACACACACACACACACACACACGAAAGACTCTTTTAAAAAGATTTATTTTCATTTTATATATGTGTGTGCTTTGCCTGCATGTGTGTGAACCACATGCATGACTGGTGCCTGATGAAGTCAGGAGAGGGTGTCAGATCCCGAGAACTGGAGTTAAGGTTGGTTATGAGCCACCATGGGTGTTGTGGGAACCAAACCTGGGTCCTCTGTAAAAGCAGCAAATGCTCTTAACTCCTGAGCCATCAGTCTAGCCTTAAGACTGATCTTTCTGGGGGCTGGAGAGATGACTCACAGGTCAAGAGCACTGGACTGTTCTTCCAGAGGTCCTGAGTTCAATTCCCAGCAACCATATGGGGACTCACAACCATCTTTCATAACATCTGGTGCCCTCTTCTGGTGTGCAAGCAAATACGCAAACAGAACACTGTATATGTAATAAAAATAAGCAAATAAATTAAAAAAAGGTTTATCAGAAAAAAGACTGATCTTTCCATTTGAAGGTGAGGCAATTAATCACAAATCACTAGTGAGGAGGAATACCTTCAATATGCTATTTGAGTTAGCAACCCTCAAACTCTTGCAGGTCCTTGAGGGATTTCTCACATTCAGGCTGGTGAGGCTAGCTCAGTTGGCAATGTGCCCTGTAAGCATGAGGCCCTGAGTATGAGCCCCAGAGCCCACCTAGAAATACTGGGAATGGCTAAGGGTTTATAATCCCAGCACTGGGTGGTAAAGAGTTGGGGATGCCTGACATCTGAATGCATCTGCATACAAGCAAAGATGCATAGACAGACACACACTCACACACACACACACACACACACACACACACACACTCACGCACGTATTAAAAATAAAAAGGATTCCTCACACTGAAAGATGGAAGGTGGTAGCAAAAATGAAAGCTGGGGCTGTGGGTAATGAGAAGATAAGCAGGCATTCTTAAACCACTAACCGCCAGTGGGGTCACTGCACTCTGTGTTTTTTTTTTTTTTTTTTTTTTTTTCCCTTTTTTTTTTTTTTTTTTTTTTTTTTTTCTCACCATTTCAATTTTTTGTTCCAGTTTCTTGGTTTCATCTTCAAGTTCTTTAATCCTCTTATTTCGTACTTCTAACTCATGAGTCAGATGGTCCTTGACCTTTTGAAGCTTGACTTTGTGGCTGTGGTGTTTGTCTTTGTAGTTTCTATAAAAGCAAAAGTCAGGATAAGCATGCCAAAATACAAGTAGGACCTCCTTGGGATATGACCTATGGACCTTTAATGTGGATGCTTTCTTGTTTCACATCTTCACTCCATGTGGGGATGAAGCCAAAATAACCCCTCTTTTCAACCAGCCCTATGAACTCAAAAGCCTCTGGATCACCCTGGTTTGAGCTGATGACAGCTTTTGTGCACTAGTTTAACTCAGGAACCTCTTGGACTTTGGATCCCTGACATAGGAATTCTGAATCCTACTCCATTGATGAGAATTATTACTTACAGTTTTCTAGTTTCTGGCTATACTGTTTTATTTGTTTTGTTTTGAGATAGGGTGTCACTATATATCCCTGGCTGATCTGGAACTCTTGATATAAACCAGGCTGGCCTTGAACTCACAGAGATCCACCTGATTCTGCCTTCTTCTCACGTGCTGAACCTAAAGACATGAGCCACCACACTCAGATATATATATATATATATAATGGTCTCAAACTCACAGAGATCCACCTGCCTATGTTTCCTGAGTGCTGAGATTAAAGACATGTGTCACCACTGCCTGGCTACTCTTTACATTTTTAAAAACTATTTTTAGTATTACTTTTCTACAATGTGTATGTGGAAGTCAGAGGACAACTTGTAGGAGTTGGTTCTCTCCTTCTACCATGTGGGTTCTAGGGATTAAACTCAGGTCATGAGACTTCGTGGCAAGTGCCTTTACCAGCTGAGCCTTCTGGCTGGCCCCTAGTTTGTTTTCTTCCTTCTTCCTTCCTTCCTTCCTTCCTTCCTTCCTTCCTTCCTTCCTCCCTCCCTCTCTCTTTTTCTTTCTTTTCTTTTTTTTTTTTTTCAGAGACAGGGTTTCTCTGTGTAGCTTTGGAGTCTTTTGTAAGATTTATTTACTTATTATGTATACAGTGTTCTGCCTGCATGTATGCCTGATGCCAGAAGAGGGCACCAGATCTCATTACAGATGGTTGTGAGCCACCATGTGGTTTCTGGGAATTGAACTGAGGACATCTGGAAGAGCTGCCAATGCTTTTAACCTCTGAGCCATCTCTCCAGCCTCTCTAGTTTTCTTTTTACAGAATCTATGGGTTTGGCCTGAGCAAGGGTTGTCTTGAAAAAAAAAAAAAAAAAAAAAAAAAAAAAACAAAACCCCTAAATTGGTTTTCCTTATAGCTTGATTTGTCTAGCTTTCTTTGTGGCTACGTAAATCCATGTACATTTAAGCTGACCAAATACAGAGAGGAAAACAGTGTGACTTGCAGGAACCCTGCATGCACTGCCTTCTCTTCCTGCTTTCTGACTGAAATGAGGACATTGCCGTGAACTGTCTTCAATGATGTGGATAGGTTCCACGAGCCTAGCCTGGTCTGGTTCCAAGACAGCCAGGGCTGCACAGAGAAACTCTGTCTTGAAAAACCAAAGACCAAACAAACAAACAAACTAGCAAATAAATGAACGAACGAACAAAACCCCTCAAGATGCTAGAGCAACAGCAAAATAGTAGAAGCCTAGACTTCTGAGGCAGTGAACCTCCATGCAAATCCTGGGCTGCTAAGTCTGCACTGTCAGATGAGGGAGAAACATGTCCACATACTGCATGCCCTTTTTCGGTTCTTTGAGGCAGAGTCTCACTATACATCTTAGACTGGCATGGAACTCACTATGTGTGTTAGATTGGCCTCAAATTCATGATCCCAGTGCTAGGGTTACGGGCATGTGGCACCATGCCCAGTTTTATATTTTCTGCTTTGTATGTGTGTGTTCGTGTGTACATGAAGTTATGCATAAATGTGTGGTTAAGTACAGAGGCCAAAGGTCAATGTTTGGGTTTTGCCCTCCACCTTATATTTAGACAGGGCCTCTCACGGAATCTGGAGCTCACCCATTTGTTTAGGCTGACTGACCAGTGAGCTCCAGGGATCTGCCTGTCTTCCCCCTCCCTCAGCACCAAGGTTATAGGCTTGTTACATGGTTTCTGGGGACCTAAACTCAGGTCCTCATGTACTGTTACTGACTGAGCTGTCCCTGGTCTCTGAAGCCGTTAATATTCAATTTCTCATACAGTACTCTAACAGCACTCAGTACAGATAGCTAGCTACATTCATAAACTTGCCGAAGACCCATTCAATCCATGGCCCCTGCAACAGCACCTACTACATAGTGTGAGACACACGCTTCTGTAATACTTTTCAGTTCCTAAGATGATTCCCTCCCATAAACAATCTCATTTCCTTTTGCACTGGGAATGCGTGGTGGAGACTATTCTTTGGGTGTCAGCATTCCGAGACTCATCAGAGATGGAGCATGTCACACTGCATACAACCCTCCTCCCCTCCCCCCAGCTCTTTCACGTGTTCACAGTGGCTCTAACAGATTTTTTGATTCTGAGAGAGTGTCTCACAATGTGGCCCAGTCTGGCTTTGAACTCCTGATCCTTCTGCCTCCACTTTGCCTGCTGAGATTATAAGTGTGTGCCACCACACCCAGCAAAATCATGACAGTTTTCTTGTTTAAAACACTGTGCCTCATGTAGTCTAGGGTAGCCTTGAACTTGGCTATATTATCTCAAGCTGACCTTGAATTTCTGATCCTCCTGTGTCTACCCATCAGTAGCTAGTGTTACAGATCTGGGACATGATACCCAGTGATGTTTTGACATCATTAGACACACAACACAAATTCTTCTACTTCTACTTATTCTTGCTATTAAAACCCAATCTTGGGCTGAAACATTGGCTGAGCAGTTAAGGGCACTTGTTGCTCTTGCAGAGGACCCAGGTTCGATTCCCAGCACCCATGTAATGGCTCATCTATAACTCCAGTCTCAGGGGATCCAGATGCCCTCTTCAGATGAGTTGGTGACATACGCCTTTAATCCCAGCACCCAGCACCCAGGAGGCAGAGGCAGGTGGATCTCTGTGAGTTCAAGGCCAACCTGGTCTACAGAGCGAGTGCCAGGACAGACTCCAAAGCAATACAGAGAAGCCCTGTCTCGAAAGAAACAAACAAGCAAAAACAAAACAACCCCCCCCCCCAGTCTTTAGCTTCTTTACCAAAGAGTGGCTGTCTTGCCAAGGTAGATTAACTAAAAATATTTTATTTGGAAAGGAAAGGATAAATTATAAATTGGAAAAATAACTGATTACCAATTTATTTAGTATTGTTATATTGTTTTCCTTCTAGTTTGTAAAATTATGTTATATGTGTGTGTTTATCTGTGTGTGGGCTTGTGCACACATGATGCCCTGGCTATTATGTATATGTGTGTATATGTTTATCTGTGTGTGGGCTTGTGCACACATGATGCCCTATAGCCAGGAAGAACCCAGGAGCTTCCGTGACTACTGCTGTCTGACTTAGACATTGCTGGTCTCAGGTTCTAGGTCAGCTTTCCCAAAGAATGTACAGTTCTTCGGTCCTTCTGACTTTGTTAACTACCAGCCTCACGAGGCAGCACACACTTAGGGGAAAACTTTCTCAGCTCGTGTCTAAGTAAAACCAGCTTGCCTGTTACTAGGACTTCAAGAAGGTGAGGGACTCATTCCCATGAAAAAGCAGTTTGGAAGGCATTAAACACAAGATCAGTACTGGATTGTAGACTGGTAATCCTTTGCTCTTTGTCTAAAAATCAAAAATGAGTGAGTACATACCATGTTTATCTTTTTGTGATTGGGTTACCTCACTCAGGATGGTTTCTTCTGGTTCCATATATTTGCCTGCGAATTTCAAGATTCCATTGTTTTTTTTTTTTTTTTTCCTGCTGAGTAGTACTCCATTGTGTAAATGTACCATATTTTCTCTATCCATTCTTCAGTTGAGGGGCATTTAGGTTGCTTCCATATTCTGGCTATTACCAGTCTACAATCCACACCACCAGAGAGCTAGGAAACAAGGACCCCCAAGAGAAGATTTCATAGTCCCTTGAAGAAGGGGAGGGGGACAAGAACCCCTGAACAAAGTGGGACCTCTAACAGTGGAGCCAGTGTTTAACCCTAGAGCACAAATGGACTTTGGGAGCCCATTCCCTATGTAGGGACACGATTGCAAGTCAGATACAGCAAGGAGGGCCTAGGCCCTTCCCCAAATGATACGACAGACTTTGAAGGTCCCTGGTGGAGGGCCTCACTATCCCTGGGGAGGAGTTGGGGGATGGCTTGGGGGGTTGGTGGGGAACATGGGAGGATAGGAGGGCGAGGGAATGGGGGGATGGATTTGTAAATATGAGTAGTAATTAAAGAATTTAAATAAATAAAAAAAAGATCAGGACTGGGATGAGGGAGACAGAAACCCAAACAAGCCTGATGTTTGGCATTTCCTTCCACTGTGCTTCACAGATCTGTGCTTGTCAACCCTGGATACATGTTAGAACCACTTGGTGATGCTTTGGGAAAACACTTTTTTTTTTAACCATAGGTTTTGATTAAATTCATGTATGTAGGTGCCTAAGCACATGCAACCAGGGCTGGATCCATTTTTCTAAAGGTCATGCATAAATAACATGGAAAATTATTCACTCTCAGCTGTAACACACACACACACACACACACACACACACACACACACACAATACAATGGAAAGCCCTGGCTGTAAGTGCATATTGTAACTAATGAAAGATGCTGAGTGACAGAAGTCAGTCATGAAGAGAATACCGTGTAAAGTGAGTCTCTTTAGAAATCTGTAAAATGCAGACATCACAGCAGTGGCTGCCTGAGAAAGACAGAGGAGAGAGAGCGGCAGACTGCACACAGGCAGGAGACAATTCAGCAGTGGGGGACATGTTCTGCATCTTGACTGAGGCAGGAGCTACACACACACATGCACACACACACACTTGTAAAAATGCATTGAATTGTATATTAGTTTTCTGGAAATGAATTCTATATGCATCAAAAGCAAGAATGTTGGAGGAACTTTTCATCAAGGTCCTTTCCCCTTCCCCCATGGTACTCCCACAAAGGAGGATGTGGAGAAACAACAGCTCTCGCATCATTGCAGTAGTAGAGGCAGGATGCTTTTTGAATGCTTGCCAGCGCATTAATGATGCATAGTACTATTCAATCATTGGGCCGCTGAGTTGTTCCAAACAGAATCAGGGCTGTGGTGGGATGACTGACTGATTCCAGCAGGTCTACAGCTAGAAAAGCTTTCCTGCTTGCATTTTTGCTCTTTGCACCAGTTGGTGCCAACTGTTGGTCAAGGCACAAAATACACTGAGTAAAATAGTGTGGTTTCATAACCACCAGTACAGGGAGTTCTGTAGCAGGCTGGCTTGTGCTTGGCTTCAGGGAGGTCCAGGAAGGCTCTGCTATGGAGACAGTGACATGGCAGTGATCGATAACCTTTGAGATCCCTGGTTGTCAGGTGTCCAGTGCACACAGCCCGAGGAAAGGAAGTAAGAGAGGGACTGGAGAAGTAACTCAGTGGTTAGGCATGTTGTTGCTCTACCAGAGGACACCAGTTCAGTTCCCAGCACCCAGATTGCAGCTCACAAGCATCAGTAGCTCCTCTTGTAGGGGTTCTGACACCTTTGCCTGGCCTCCAAGGGCTCCGGCACACACACAGTGTACATAAACACATGTAGGCTCACAAGATACAGAGAACTCAGTAAACAGAAGGAAATGGGCCCCACATCTTCCTTGGAACTGTGGAGATTGGACTGGAAAATAATGTTAATCTGGGAAATCATGTTGATGGCCCCATCAGTGCTCTGTGTGGTTTTGTTTTGTTTTGTTTTGTTTGTTTGTTTCTGCAGAACAGCCCTCTGTATCCTGTTTGTCCACAGGGAACCTGCTTTGTTTACCTCACATGCTCACCAAGTTGCTCCAAAAACCTCCCATGTTCTTGCCACAGAGCGTCCTTTTCTTGCTGTAACCTCAACAGCTTCTCCGACAGTTCCTGGTTGCTCTTGACAGACTGAAAAACATGGAGGGGAGGGTGGCAGTGGAAAGGGAGTAGCCTGTGCCTGTGTGGTGAAGTCCTCACATAAACTCCCGAGGGCAGAATTTGATGAGCCTAGGGAGAGCTGAACACAGGGGCTTGCAAGAAGACAACCAAGTATTCTCCCATGTGCTGGGAGCTGGCTCACTCCTACTGCAGGGAGCCAGGAGCTCCTGGCTCAGGACCCCTCCTGACCTCACCCTATGTGTCTCCTTGTCTGGTTGCTTATTTCTATCCTTTAAAATACCTTTCGTAACAAATAAGGAAACAGGAATGTAGTGAACCCAGTGTTGTGTGAGTGCCCTAGCAAAGTGATTGACTCTAGTCCATTTCTAGTTGGTCAGAAATTCTGATGGCCAGACTAGGATGTGGCTCAGTAGAGTACTTGCCTAGTGTGCACTAAGTCTTAAGTTGGATGTCCAGCTGTGCATGAAACTACTTGTGGTGTGCTGGGCATCGGTAGTGCACGCCTTTAATCCCAGCACTCGGGAGGCAGAGGCAGGCAGATCTCTGTGAGTTCGAGGCCAGCCTGGTCTACCAAGCAAATTCCAGGACAGGCTCCAAAACAATACAGAAAAACCCTGACTTGAAAAACAAAAACAAAACAAAACAAACAAAAAACAATAAAAAAGGCTACATGTGGTGGCATTTATTTCTAATCGTAGCAATTGGTCAAGGGCATTTTCAGCTACATAAGAGTTTGAGGCCACCTGGTGCTACATGAGACCCTGTCTCAAAAAAAAAAAACAAAAAAAAAAACAAAAAAACAAAAACAGGTGGGGTGGAAGACAGATAATTCCAGAGGTGTAGCCTGCCACTGGGTCTGAAGTCTCTTTTTTGTTCATTGGTGTGATGTGAGAGGAGAAAAGGAGGGCATTTGCTTTTTTATAACATGAGAGCATAAATTAAAGAAAGTCTCTTGACCTTGACCCAAAGGTATTTGTATCTAGAAGTGGCTGTAGTGCCTAGAAACTCAGAGAGTGGGGATCCGAGCTGGTTAGATTGGAAGGTTCAGGCCAAGTGCCCCTTACCCAGAATCTTGGGAATGGGACCCAAGGCCAGCCACAAAACTTATCTGTGTCTCATATTCGCCTTATTCACGTAGCCTGCCGTATTTCTGTGACCCACCACGCGAGGGCAGGTGTGGAGCTGGCCACACGCAGTGGCCTGTCAGCATTCAGAACATCTCCAGCATTTGTGCATCTGCTTTGAGACAGGTTCTTGCAGTGTCTAGAATATTCGGCCTAGAACTCCTGGGCTAAAAGCGATGCTTCTTCGTCAGCCTACCAAATAGCTGGGACTATAGGCGCGTGCCACTATGTCTGGCTCCAAAAGTTTCAGATTTGGAGCATTTTAGATTTCAGAGTTTTGGGTTAGGGATTTTGTTTGTTTGTTTGTTTGTTTGTTGTTTTCGAGACAGGGTTTCTCTGTGTAACCCTAGCTGTCCTGGAACTTGCTTTGTAGACCAGACTGGCCTCCAACGCACAGAGATGTGCCTGCCTTTGCCTCCCTAGTATTGGGATTAAAGGCTTAGACACTGCCCTCCTTGATTAGGGATTCTTAACCTGTAGCCTGATCTCATTGTCACTAACACTAAGCACCTGGCAAAAATATTGAAGAGTTTTGGGAGATGGTATGAAACACCCCCCTAGAGGCTCATGTCAAGGGTGTGGTGGCTGGGTTCATTGAGGTAGAACCTAGCTAGAGGAAGTAACCCCCCAGGCATGGCCTGGAAAGGTTCAGCCCCTTTCCCCCTCTTGGTTCTCTGCTTCTTGACTGCCATTGGAATTGCTTCACCAGGAATTTCCCACCATGATGCTTTGCCTCAGGCCAGGGACAGAGACCTCTGACACCACAAGAAGAAATCAGCCTTTTCTCCCATAAGGTGCCTTCTCAAGTCTTCTGCCTCAGAGATGAAAACAGATTCACTCAACTAACAGAGCTGTGATGTAACTGACAACTCCAAGGTCTGTAGGGTGAGCTAGACACCTCTGATCAAGTCAATGAACTCCCAATAATATTTCCAACTCAGGGGTCTAATTGCCAGAACAAAGTAGAGTCAGAAGGCCACAGAGGTTTTATGATTATCTTTAAGTAACCTCTCTCGAAGCTACAAGGCCAATGTAACAACAAACCAGACTTCATCAAGAGGATGGCAGATTTACAGCACAAATTCATTTCACAGCTTTGCTGTCTTATAAAACACAGGGCTCAGGGATGCACAGACAACAGCTGGGAAGAACAACATCTCACAGGACCTCGGGTGCAAGCTCCCTGTGCCAGTGTAAGCAGCCCCCCACTTTGTGGTCTGCAGGGTTTAAAATCTTTGCTTTGGGGATCTGTACGGGTTGCATTTTAGGCAGGTGCCTTGGAAGAAGGTGCCTGTTGCTGGAGATGCAGGTCTGTTGGCAGAGGGCTTGCCTAGTATGCATGGAGCCCTGGGTTTGATCCCCAGGCATGATGTCACACACCTGTCACCCAAGCACTCTGAAGTGGAAGCAGGAAGATCAGAAGTTCAAGATTATCTCAGCTACACAGTGAATTCAAGATGGAGGCCATGGCTACCCAGAGAAATAGGTGCTATTGTCCTTTAAAGCCATCTGTAGATCATCACCATGTCCTTTCTTATGGTCTCTCCAATCATAGCACAGAGTTAGATCCTAGCACACATCGGAGGAGAGGAGGCTGAATGTAGGCCTCGACTTACAAAGCACAGCAGAAATATGGGCAGGATTTGGCATTTTAAAACTCCAAGATCTTGAGGACTTTGTGAAGAAATGGATTTCTAGGAGACTAAACTAGGGGGGATGAACTACTGTATTGAACAGGCCAACACTATTGATAATAGATGTGCTTATCAGAGGCAGAATTTATTATTTTTTTTTAGACAGAGCTTCTCTGTGTAGCTTTAGAGCCTTTGCTGGAACTCTGTAGACCAGGCTGGCCTTGAACTCACAGAGATTCACCTGCCTCTGCCTCCCGAGTGCTGGGTTTAAAGGCATGCGCCACCACCAACCGGTCAGAATTTAAATTTTTAATGATTTATTTAAAACGAACGAGTGTATGTTGTGTGTGTGTATGTGATATACATATACATATATAAATATATATGTATGTTGTGTGTGTATGTACATGTTGTGTGTGTATATGTATGTTGTGTGTGTATATATGTGTGTTGTGTATGTGCATGTTGCATATGTGTGTGTATTCATACATGCAGGTTACAGGTACCCACAGAGGCCAGATGACGGCACTGAATCCACTGGAGCTGGAGTTACATGTGGGTTGTGAGCTCCCTGATTTGGGTGCTGGGATCTGAACTCCTATATTAAATGGCATTAAGATGCTATACTTAGACACAAGAAAGACGAAGGAAACCAAAAAGTGATATAGGTAGGAATTTTAGAATAGTTCACCATGGGTCACTTCATCCACCATTATCGATTCCAAAGCAAGGTGGGAGTTGTCTCTAACTGAAGGACTTTAGAATTAACAAAGAAATAACCTAGAAGAAAAACAAACCTCTCACCCTAAGAACAGGGAGACCTGACTTAGAAACCTAACCAAGGGCACAATGACCTGACCCCCTGGAATTTCTTAGCTGGCAGAAATAACTCCCTTACAAGGCCACAAGACAACATAACTAAATACCAAGAATTCCTAGAGGGCCACCCTGCCCTAGGGTCATGAAGATAAGAACAGACAATCCCACTGAGTCAGGAGACCATCCAGCCCCAAAGATAAGAGATCTCCAAAGGATCTGTGACTCTGGTCACGTACCCAAACCCCTAAAAGCCTATGATTTTTCTCCTATAAAAGAAGCCTGCTTTAGAGGAACAAGGAACAATTCCTTTGTCTGTCGGACTGGGAGGCCCGTTTGCGCAAACGTCCCACAATAAACTTACCTCTTGTTTTTGCATCAGCTGGACTGGACATTGAGTGTTTTTGGGGGGATCCTCCGATTTGTGGAGACTCCTCGGTCCGAGGGTCTTTCATAACCACCTGATTTTGGTGGGGTTCACAGTACTACAGAGCAGCACTTAAATCCTAGATGTGGGTGGGTGTTGTTATTGCTCATAGGCAACAAGGACAGCCAAATGAATTGACTTACCGCAAACCATCTGATTATGCCTCTTTGGTCACCATGATTGATAAACAATTTGAATGTTTTTTGATAGCAGAATATTTGAAATAGTTTATTTGCTTTGCATCCCAGGATGACCTGAACTCACAGCCCTCTTATCTCAGCATCTAGGCTGTTCCCACTACATAGCCCTGACTGGCTTGGAACTTTCTGTGTACACCAGGCTGGCCTTAAAGTTAAAGAGTTCTCTGCCTCCAGAGTGCTCTCCCCTACCTTTTGTGGTTTTAACCGAACATTTTATACACTGTCATTTCCCTTTTTGTTTTGAACTTATCAGCTTTCTTTCTAGTTTTTATAATTAGTCCCTAACAATTGCCATAGAATGTATTATACCTATAGCCAGCCCAAGTTCTAGATAGCTCTCTCTTCTTCCACCCCTCATCTCTCCTTCCTTCCTTCCTTCCTTCCTTCCTTCCTTCCTTCCTTCCTTCCTTCCTTCTTTCCTTCCTTCCTTCCTTCCTTCTTTTTTTGATGGTATTTATGTGGGGACAGGGTGTGTGTGTGTGTGTGTGTGTGTGTGTGTGTGTGTGTGTGTGTGCTCATGTTTCCTGTATAGTGACAATCAGGTGTTATTTCTGAGGCATCATCTATCTTGTTTTTGTCATACAGGGCCTGCCATTGGCCTGGGGCTCACTGTTTAGGCCTACTGTTTAACCTGGCTGGCCTGCTTCTGCCTCCCAAGAGCTGGGATTAAACACATGTGATGCCATGTGTAGACCTCAAGTTTGCTCTCACACAATGCTCTGCCACTTCACAGGCAGTGCAAGGACACTGCAATAGCAGACAGTTGCAGTTTCTCTCTCCATCTTTTGTATCACTGCTGACATCCGTTTTCCTTACATAGAAGCATACTACATGTGTATAAAATAGCATAATATGCCGGGTGTTGGTGGCGCACGCCTTTAATCCCAGCACTCGGGAGGCAGAGGCAGCAGAACCTATGTGTAGTTTTTCTGTCACTCATCGTGATTGGTGTTCTCTGAACTTTCTGGATCTGTGGTTCAGCATCTGCCATTAACTTCCAGACATTCTCAATCATTATTTCAAGTGTTTCTTCTTTTTCTTTGATTTTCCAGCACTTTCCTCTTGTGGTACCCTTCCTGTATTGATCGTGTGGTTTTTGGATAGTCTGTTCTTTCCCCTTAAGGTTCCCTTTGCTCACTGGTTTCCAGGTTTCTGTTGTGATTTCCCCAGGATTCTTCCCTCGGCTGTGCGCAGTGTGCTAAGAGCCCCATCACAGGCTGCCACCACTTCTGCCACTGTGGTTTCTATGTCTTGCATTTCTTTCTCCTTCTTAGACTTTCCATCTGTCTCTGTTTCTACTGCCTGTCTCCTCTTAAATGTCATGTGTCTGCTTTATTAGAGTTCTCAGCATATTAGTCACAGGTGCTTTACATTTCTGATAATTTCAACATTCCCATCATATTTGGCTCTTGATTCTTGTATCTTCAAGTTGTGTCTTCAGAATTTTTCTTTATAGGCAGACACGATGAAGGAAGTTGTTAGAGACAGATATTCATGTCTGCTGGTAAGGCATGGGGGCTGGGCCACATTCTCTGCTCCTGTGATTTGGTCAGAATCTTCCAGAATCTACACCTTTGAACCATGAACCTTACACATGCTTCTTCCTCCACCTTCATTTCTTCCTGTGAAATGGGGGCAGAGTTGGCTGAAATTGCATGTTTGTCTTGCCCTGGGTCAGTAAGGTTCTGACAGAATTGCATCATGTTAGGTTCTAGTTAAACAGTTTCCCTTATTAAGAAACTCTGAATGTCCCCCTCCCCAGTACCCTTCCTGGCAGGAGACCAGGGAGAGATTCCCCTCTCTCTCTCTCTCTCTCTCTCTCTCTCTCTCTCTCTCTCTCTCTCTCTCTCTCTCTCTCTCTCTCTGTGTGTGTGTGTGTGTGTGTGTGTGTGTGTGTGTAAGTGTGGGGGCCTCAAAGATGTATAGTTCCCTGGAATACTCATCTCTCAGAATTTTCTTTTCACTTTGAGCCTCCAATAGTTCATCAGTTTTGGTGCAGGCTTTCCCACACGATTCTCATCGGGGCTTCTCCATGGCATTTTATCAGTCTCTCCAATTTCAGGGGGCAGTGGCCCTGTGGTCGTTTGAAAGAAAATGGCCCCCAAAGGAAATGGCACTATTAGGAAGTGTGGCCTTGTTGGAAGTGTGGTCTTGTTGTAGGAAATGTGTCACTGTGGAGGCGGGCTTTGGGGTTTCATTTATGCTCAAGCCATGCCCAGTGAGATAGTCTACTTCCTGTTGCCTGTATATCAGCATGTAGCAGTTACCTCTCTAGCACCATGTCTGAATGCACACTGCTGTGTTCTGCCATGATGATAATGAACGGAACCTCTGAACTGTAAGTGAACCATCACAATTAAATTTTTTTTTTATAAGAGTTGCCATGGTCATGGCATCTCTTCACAGCGATAGAAGCCCTAACTAAGATGGGTCCTGTAACCCCACTTCTCTGATGGATCAAGAAGTACTGTTAAAACTTTTCAGCTTGCTTGGCTTATTATTTGTGGTTATGATGGAGTAGGGTGTCTTCCAAATTCCTTTCGTAGAGAACCCTGAGTCAGAAACTTCCACGAAATTCCACATGGTTAGGAATTAGAGCTTGTGGGTTGGTGAACACATGGAGGCACAGGGTGGACACACACACTCTGTGTCCCCTCCCAAATTCCTGGCTATCTTCTCCTTCTGGATGCTTCTGACTTGTGACCTTTTGTAATAAGCAGGCAATCAATTAACCAATGTTTCCTGAGGTACTCTGCTTTTCTGTATGTGTATGTCTATCTCTGTGTGCATACCAGCACAGGCCAGAAGAGGGCTCCACCCCCCCCAAAGTGGAGTGGAACCCCACAGCAGGTCCTTTTGACTTCCTATCCAGCAGTTTTGCAAGCATTTTTCTTCATGTATTGAATACCATCTTGTTTGTGTTGGGGCCCAGGGCACACCACCCCAAAACATGATCATAGAACAGGATATGCCCCTATGTGCTGGCTAGTGTCAACCTGACACAAGCTAGAGTCATCCAAAAAGAGGGAAACTTAATTGAGAAAATGCCTCCATAAGATCTAAAAGTAGGGAATTTTCTTTCTTTTTCTTTTTCTCCTTCTTTCCTTCCTTCCTTCCTTCCTTCCTTCCTTCCTTCCTTCCTTCCTTCCTTCTTTTGGTTTTTCAAGACGGCATTTCTCTGTGTAGTTCTGGCTGTCCTGGAACTCACTCTGTAGACCAGGCTGGCCTCAGACTCACAGAGATCACTTGCCTGTGCCTCCTGAGTGCTGGGATTAAAGGTGTGCTCCACCACTGCCTATTGGACTTCTGTCTGTCTCTGAGATAGCCCCTTCCTCACTCTACAGTTCTTCCACATGCCCTCCCAAAGTTTGTCTCCACTGTGTTCCAGAGGTTCCCAGGCCCTTTTTAGATAGCTCAGGATGCTGTACAAGCTTTGGACATCTGACCTGTTTTAAGTCTCATGTTTTGTGGGACACCCATGCATATACATGTAATTAAAGTGGCCTCACTCCTACTAATTTGCCCTATGTTGATTAGTCTTTTAAAATATCTTTTTTCATCTTTATTTTATGTATATAGATCTTTTGCCTGCATGTATGTCTCTGCACCACATGTGTGTCTGGTGTCTGAGGAGTTCTGAAGAGGTTGTAGGCTCCCTTAGAACTAGAGTTACAGACAGTTGTGAGCTGCCATGTAGGTGCTTAGGATCAAACCCGGGTCCTCTGGAAGAGCAGCCAGTGCTCTTAATCATTGAGCCATCTTGCCAGCTCCTGCCAATTAAATTTATAGCCTAGCCAAACAGCCCAGAAGGCTACAGGGAAGTCATATTTCCCTCCCCTCCACTTGGACATATGTTTATATGGTAGATTTTTTTTTTACTAGCTAAATTCAGTTGATAAAGTACACTCAATGATAATTACCTAAATAGCAATAGCAATGACGGACACAGATTCCAGTCTGTGCAAATTAGGGAAACAGGGGAACATATCTGCCACTTTCTTACCTCTTCACACTTCCTTCTCTCGTTTTCCAGTTGTTTGTGCAGAGCCTCTTGTTGCTGGGAGTTGGTTGCTTCCTGTTGGTTCTCCTTATCCTGCAGGGTTCTCACTTGCCTCTGGAGCTCATTTATTTCCTGGTCCAGGAGTAACCTGAGGGCAATCAATGCACAGCAGATCACCGCCACGCCACGCTCTGCACATGATTCCTAGACCTGTGACTTTTGTGCCAGCAAGAGGGAGCTTGTGGGTCCAGTAGAGTGAGGTACAGTTAGTTATGAGTCTTCAAGATGAGGGGACCGGTGCAGGGAACCTCCTACATGACAGAGGTTTTTTTCTTAATTCTTCCTCGTGCCATCAAAACAAGCCCATGAAGAAGAAGTCATTTTCCTTATGGTGGAGATGAGAAAGATGTGGCACTAAGAATAGCCAGGACAAGGCCGAGGTGGGTTCTACTCCTGAATCCATGTTCCTTTTTCCCTCGTCCTTTACAGGTTGACCCCGAAATCTTTTGACTCCACACACTGCTGGTACCCTGCTACAGCTAGCTGACTGTGGACTGCTGGAGCTGGTGCACACACTGCTGGCACCCTGCTACAGCTAGCTGACTGTGGACTGCTGGTACTCGTGGAAAGACTTTCTGAGGATTTCAAACCACGAGTCTCCGCATTCAGGAGATTCATCTCAAAGAATCTGATGATGGCAATAATGAAATAGCACTGACTGGTAAAATTCTCACCTGCATGCCATGACATTAAATCATAACACTGGACAGACAGCTTTGCTTTCTCTAAGCATTCTAGGGAACTGGCAGGTTATTGGAAGTTAGTTTATTTTAGACATGGGTTCTTGGCTCTGCACCTCTCGCTCTTATTTTCCTTGGATATAAGTGCAGGCACTCACTCTAAGGGTTGTTGGAGCTTAATTCTACCAGTCACATCTAACCCTGTGCCTTCTTCACTGTTATTTTTGCTCTATCCAAATCACTACATGTTTATGTAGGCAATCCCTGCTGTTATCATCTCTTTTTTAATTTATGGTTCTGTTAGGTAGCTAGTTAGATATTAGCAACTTGAGAAGATACTGGGGTTGGATCCTTCCTTCATAATCAATAGTTTATAAACCCAAGAATGGGAACAGTAGGATGTTAAGTACAGGCCACGGAAATGGACCTGAGTTCTAGCTCTGGCTCTATGAGGAGACACAACATCCTGAATTACCTTGAACATCCTTAATAATAAGTATTGAAACTGGTCTCAAGAGCCCTAAACCTTATAAGATTACTATATAGCCGGAGGCATTCTGGTAAAGAACAAGGACATGCCATTCATTGCCTTCTTTCTGGAAGGTCAATCTAGACAGGCCTGTCAGTCTGGATGGGAAGACTACTTGTTCTAGAGACTTCAGAAAAGGACAAATGCTGCCTCAAATGCAGACTGACACAAATGTCCTTTTGACCATGTCTCCCCTGTTCTATAATAAGCTGCCTATCTTCAATGTCATGCTTTGTAGGTCTCGTCTGAATTCTTCTGCAGATATTTCTTGAGGGCTGGGAAGCTGAGGGAAAGCAGAGTGAGATCCAGTGACAGTTCTATTTCTAGTTTTAGCTCAAGGGCGTGGATAAGCGCTAAGTCCTAGAGCTGAAGGGATTTTGAGCTGCTAGATCAGAGAAAACCTTGGATATCTACAGCACAGTCTGGGAGTTGACATGGAAGTTGAAAAACGGAAAGTCTGAATCAAAAGAGCATCTCAAGGATTTGCTAGGAACTACCAAACAGAATGGACACTTCCCAAAATACATCATTTCAGCAATGAAAGACTAGCAGGCTTGAGATTGACAAGGTAAGACAAGATCCTCTGTTTTCTCTATAGACTGAGTCTCTTCATCAATCCATCATTTACGCAGGACACAGTTTTCTTCCTAACTCACAACTGAATGCTGGTGTCGGCAGTTGAACCCAGGGTCTCGTGACTGCTAGGCAACTGTTCCACCGCTGAGCTACATTCTAAACTCCACAATCCCTCTCATAACATCCTTCAGTGGCCCACTTTTGCTCTTACAGTAGAGTCCCAACTTTCTTTCTTTCTCTCTCTTTCTTTCTTTCTTTCTTTCTTTCTCTCTCTCTCTCTCTCTCGCTCTCTCTCTCTCTCGCTCTCTCTCTCTCTCGCTCTCTCTCTCTCTCGCTCTCTCTCTCTCTCGCTCTCTCTCTCTCTCGCTCTCTCTCTCTCTCTCCCCCTTCCTTCTTTCTTTTTTTTTGAGACAGGGTTTCTCTGTATTGTTTTGGAGAGTCCCAACTTCAATGTGGCCTGTCCTTCACCTCTGCGTGAACTTTCTGGGCTCATTTTCTCACCAGCAAATACTCTCCCAAACCCACACAACCTTTCGCCTTCCTCTTTCCTCATCCCTAATCTTCGCCTCTCAGTTTCACTCTCGCTTTAAATGGCTGTTACAGAGGAAGGCTTTCTCAAGCCCTCAGTCCCACAGATGTTCCTGCCAGGGGCTTTTACGGCCTTCTGAACCTCTTTAGCATGATGCTTGTCACATATCACTCCGGTTAGAGTGTCTCAGGGCAGGGATACTCATTATAGCAGCATTCAAACTCCTCTTTCAGAGAGCTTAAATTACATCTATTTGTGTGTGTATGTGCCACAGCATACACGTGTGTGTCAGAAGGCCATGTGCAGGCATTGGTTCTGTCCTTCCACCATGTGAGTTTCTGGCATTGAACTCAGATTGTCAGGCTTGGTGGTGAGGATCTTTACATGCTAGGGTGTCTCACTGGCCCTCAAATTCCCTTAAAGTTTCTTTTTTATTATTGTGAATATGTGTACATGCAAACCAGTGTGTGTGTGTGTGTATGTGTGAGCCAGAGGATGATTTCATGGAATTGGTTTTCTCCTTCCATGTTTAAGTGGGTTCAGGAGATAGAACTCAAGTAGTCAGGCTTGCATAACAACCAACTGAACCACTTCCCAGCCCCTCAAACTCCATTTAAAATAATAAACAATTTTTGGCAGTACTAGGGTTGAATTCAGGACTTTGTGCATGATCGGTAGGTACCCTGCCAGTGAGTTACATCCTTAGCACTCACTATAGTGTTATTTATAGCAGAAAAAAAAAAACTAAACCGAATTAAGCTCAGTAAAGTGGTACACATCTGTAGTCCATCTACACAGGAGGCTGAGTCAGGAGGTTCACTTGAGCTCAGGAGTTCATGGCAAAACCTGGGCAACATGGCAAATTCTGTTATAGACAACTAATCAACCATTCAACATAAGTATGTATTTCTATGTATAATCAGAGGTTTCTAGAGAATGGGAACCAATTAAATGTTTACAGTAGGGGGTGTATGACATGAACTCACAGGGCCAGAGGCTGGATAGGCTCGCAATAGCCCACTGCTTCAGAGCTGCTCCATCTAAGAAGCCGGAAGGAAGCCTCAGTACACAGTCAGTGCAGTCAGCAGCACAGCAGCCACAGTTCCATGACAATGGTCTGAAAGCTCCCTGGAGAGCTCCTGGTACATATCCACATTTGAAGGATGAGGAGCCCAGGGTCTGATGTCTTTAGTGACAATAGCAGAAACCGAATTGTTCAGTGAGGGCCCCGCCCTTCTCCTCCTCTCACCTTCCCATCTGGGCCCCAGACTTTTGGAAGTTGCTGCTCATTCAGAGTGGGTCTCTTCCACTGAGTATGCTGACCCACAGGCTGATCTCATCCAGTAACCCTCACAGACACCCAGATGTATGCTTTGCCAATGTTCTGGGCATCTCTAAAGCCAGTCATGTTGACAACCAAGATTCACTGTCACTATGTAAGAGAATACTATACAACAAATTAAAATGATAGTATTTATGAAACTGTACCCCATCAGCAGGAAATCCCAGATGTCTGGAGTCAACAGACTCCTAAGTGTTACAGAGCCAAGGATGTCTCATGATGAATCAAGAGCATTTTGAACTAAATGAAAATAGAATGTATAGACTTTGTGGAATGCACCAGAAGCAAAGAAACTGGCATCAGTAAATATGTATGTTATAAAGGAAGGAAAATCTAAAACCAATACTCAAAGTTTCCACAAGAAGCCAGAGAATGACTGGCATTCTAACCCCAGGACAAGCAGAAGAAAAGAAGAATAAAATGAGAACCTCAGCAGCCAGGTATGGTGGTGCATGCCTGTAATTCCAGAATTTTGGAAGCTGAGGCAGAAGAATGGTTGTGAGTCTCAGACAAGCTTAGGTTTATAGTGAGTTCTAAGATAGCCTGGACTACAAAGTGAGACTGTTGTCTCAAACCAAGTGGGGTGTGGTGGCACACAGGTAATCCCAGAACTTGGAAGGTGGCAACATAAGCATCAGGAGTTTAAGGCTAGCCTCAGATATATAGTGAATCTGAGGCCAGCCTGGGCTACATGAGACCCTGTCAAGAGATGTGGGGCAGTTGGGTGGGGTAGATAGATAAATGGAATCAGGAAAAAGATAGAGAAAATGAAATAAAGTCAAAAGGTAGTTCTTTGAAAAGACCAATACAATCAACAAATCTTTTTCCAGGCATGAGAACCAAGATGCACAGAATACAGAAATTAATTCTAGAAATAAAACAGGGACCATCTCTATTGATCCCTCTGATACTGAAAGGACAATAAAGGATATTATTATGTCATTATAACATCATAAACAACTCTGTGCCCACAGATCTGGTTAAGTCTGATGATGAATGGTCTGAATTCTTGGAAGATGTAAACAATATAAACTCATATAAAAGGAAGAACATGACCGCACTGCTGTATCCCTTATAGAAACTGAATTCTGCTGATGACTAGTCCCAGAAACCTGGGAAACTGAGGCAGGAACATCTGTTGATCCCACAAGTCTGAGACCAGCCTGGGAAGATGGTTATGTTGGTGAAGTGCTGGGAACCAAATCCCAGCCCTCTGCAAGAGCAGCAAGTGCTCTTAGCCACTAAGCCATCTGTCTACTTCACCCTAGGTCCTCCATATCACTTTTTAAATGGGGGTTTTCTTAGTTCAGCTATGTGGACTCGTGGCAAGCTTGCTGGCACTTCTTGAATGCACCATTGGTACTGTTATCTACCCCTTTACCCGCAAGCGCTATCGTCCATCAGACTTGGGTCAGCTCAGGGTATGCTTGTCTTTGGGGTATCCTACTGGTTTCTTGTGAGTAGTACTTGCTACTAGCTAGGATCTAACAGCACAGGTTAGCCCACCATTTTGTGAGACATGGAAGGTGAGGCAAGTGTTTTCCCATGGCATCTCATTGGGAGTATTCAGTTTTCATGCATACAAATATCTAGCCGTTCACATACTCAAACATTCATTCATCCAACAAATATTTACTCAGTAGTATTTTGCCCTAGGTCCTAGCACAGAACTTCTAACTATAGCTGGAAGTAAGATTCTGAGTTACACAGTATGTGTGAACAACCCTGTGTGTTTTTAGTGGATAATATATTTTCTTAAAACATGTATGGCTCATTCTGAACATCAAACAAATGAGAAGAACCTGTCATTGAGGTCCAGGGCATCCAAAAGAATTTTTTAAGTCAAAATCATAACATTTATTTTCAGGAGAAAAAAAACCTGATAGTTCTTACTTTTGAGCAGTCTGTTAATGCCAAAAATTCCTATAATGATCCAGAAATATGTGGAAAGATATTAGCCAATGAATAGAAATCATGACTTCAATGAAGTATGAATTTGTGTAGATGATATCAGAGAGTGAGGCGAGCAATGTGTCAGATTTCACAGGTTAATCCAGTTAAGGCAATTTATCAGTGCCCCAGGTAAGTCCTCCGCCCTAAGAGTCCCACCCCTGGTGGTCCTTACCCTCTCTGCTGCTCCTCTTGACACTGCTGCTGAAGCCTAGCCTCACTGCTCTTTGCTTCCTTGATCTCATTCTCCAGTTGCTTCTTATGCAAAATACAAGCATCCGAAAGGCAGACTTGTTGAGCATGCTCTAACTTCTGCTGCAGGTCCAAAATCTTGGATGGAAAAAGTAAAATATTATGGAGTGTATGACCCCTTTTCAACAACAAATTCTATTATAGCAAGTACCTGTGATAGGAGACAGGAGGGGCTGTTAGGGGCTCTTTCCCATTCTGTCTTATAAAGATATTCTCATGTTTCACACTGTAAAAAGGAAATCTGTACAAGCATGCTGTTGGTAGCTTAGCACACATATGTTGTTGTTAACGGTTTATGTGCCCTCAGTTAACCATCCCCCAAGTCTGGGTGCCCTGGAGAGGACAAGGTTGATACTAGCAGAGACTAACTTGACTCAGCATTTCAGGTACCCAAGCAAAAACATGCAGAGAGCAAGGGAAGAATGAAGGTGATAATAAGGGGCATAGATACACAAGTACCAGAAGTGTGGCTGAGCCCCTGTGCAGAGGGTCTGCACTCCCAAGTACCTGCCTGCTTACCCCTCTTTTGCCTCTCCTCCCTATGTAAGGTTGAGATAGAAGATAGTTTTTCAGTTGTTAATCCACCATCTTCTGAGACTGCTAGATCTTCAAATAAAGCATAGGTTTTTGTTTTTTGTTTCTTGTTTTTCCTGTGTAGCCTTGGCTGGCTCAGAACTGGCTGTGTAGACCAGGTTGCCTCAAATTCAGAGATCCACCTGTTTGAAGGCATGCACCACCACACCTGGCATAAAGTGCAATTTTAAGATTCAGTTTCTCTCTCTTGTTCACTGGTTTCTGCAAGTGACAGGCAGCAATGAGCTCCTGATGTCCTGGTCACATCCATTGTTCACCGCTGCAGTTATAGGTTAGTGTGTAACTCATCCACTGTACCCTGTGGCCGTGTGCAGTGCTTGTCTTTACTTTTATGTTGTTTTGAGTGATGTCCCTCTGAGGAGGAATGCACCCTTATCTCCTGACACCTACACTGTTTAGTAGTTTAGGGCAGTAAGACAGCAATAGAAGAAGATATACACATACACATAATCACACATACCTGTTACATACTATTGGTTATTTTTGTGTTTTGTGTTTTGTGTTTTGTTTTTGTTTGTTTTGTTTTGTTTTGTTTTTTTGAGACAGGATTTCTCTGTGGGTAGCCTTGGCTTTCCTGAAACTCATTCTGTAGACCAGGCTGGCCTTGAATTTAGAACTCAGAGATCTGCCTGTCTCTGCCTCCTGTGTGCTGGGATTAAAGGCTTACACCACCACTGCTTAACTATCACTATTCTAGTGATACCTGTTGTTAAGCAATCCACGCTGCTGGGGCAATATTTGAAATTAGCTAATTTCATAGCAAAAAATCTTAAAGTTATAAGATGAGAGATGGCTCAGTGGTTAAGAGCACTTGCTGCTCTTGAAAACAACCTGGGTTCAGTTCCCAGCACCCCCTAAGGCATCTGTAACTCTAGTTCCAGGGATCCAAGCCTTCTTCTGACCTTCTCAGGCACCACATCTGCGTGTGGTGCACAGACATACATGCATATGGGCAAAACACTCATACATACATACATATACAATAAAATAAATAAGTCTATTTTTTAGAGATTACAAAATAAAAATATAAATAGCCAATTCAAATGAGCAAAAATACATTCTCTCTCTCTCTCTCTCTCTCTCTCTCTCTCTCTCTCTCACTTTTGTTTTGCAAGACGGGGTTTCTCTGTGGCTTTGGAGGCTGTCCTGGAACTAGCTCTTATAAACCAGGCTGGTCTCACAGAGATCCGCCTGCCTCTGCCTCCCGAGTGCTGGAACTAAAGGCATGTGCCACCACTGTCTGGCCACATTCTTTAATATTAAAAAAGTATAAATATCCTATGTCTTCAATCAGTTTTGAGTTCATGTTAGAGTTTAAATTAAATTTACATGTCTCTATAAATAGATATGTTTATGTGTATGTGTGTGTCTATGTATGTGCTCACATATGTGTGTATAGGTGTGTGGAGACCAACTAAGAGTTGATAAAGGGTGTCCTCCTCTGTCTCTCTCCATCTTATTTTTTGAGGCAAGATCTCTTGCTGGCCTGGCGCTCACTGTTTCAGCTAGGCCGGTTGGCCAGCCAGGTCTAGGGATCCCACATGTTTCAGTTTCTTCAAAGCTGGGATTACAGGCATGCACTGTGGGTTCTGGGGGATCCAAATCCAAGTCCTCATGCTTGTGTGGTAAGCACTTGACTGACTGAGCCATCTCCCTGGTGCCGGAAATTTACATTTTTAACTTCATACATTTTTTCCAAAAATATACAAGATTTATTAGAATGGTAGGGGCAGATGGAATAAAATTACGAAAAAGAGGGAAACACGGCAGGGGAGGGGGAGAGGTTAAAGAAAAAGATTAGCCTGTGCCCAGGTTTGCACACAACTGTCTCTTAAGGTCCGGGGGAGCAGGGCTCTAGATGTGTACCTGGATTACTATGTCACTGCGTGCATCACTTCTTGAGCAGGAAGATAATTACCTTTTCCTGTGCATCGGCCACTTTGGATTTCTCCTGAGCCAGCTTTTCCTGAAGACTCTGCTGGGATTTAATGCTCTGGGCCTGCCTGAGTCCTTCCAGCTCCAGCTCCTTGACTCTCTGCTGACAGTGCTTCCACTCTGCCGTGAGTGAGGAGTGCATCCTGGCATTGTCTAGCAACTTCTCCTGGGCCTGCTTGAGTTCGATCTTGATCTAGAGATGGGACATAAATACAAATCATAAAAATAGGTCCAGGGATGCAATTAAATAATAGAAAGTGTGCCTAGCATTTCCGAGGCACTGGGATGGAGACCACGGCATACATGTGCGCTCCTGACACACACACACACACACACACACACACACACACACACACACACAAACATGGAGGCTGGTAAGATGGCTCACAGCCAGTAAAGGTGCTGAGCACAAAGCTCGATGACCCGAATTAAACCCAGTGGATGTTACATCGTGAAAAGAGAGAACTGACTCCCAGAAGTTGTCCTCTGACCTCTGTGTGTGTGGGCCATGGCACAAGTACACCATACTCACACACATACATCACATACATGATTGTATTATTATGAATTCTGATAATAGACTTCAAGGAGTTATCACTATACATATATATACTAGATTAGCAGATAAGTTTTGAGGTGTGACAGTTCCAAGAACTGTTGAGGATGTAAGTGATGCTGATTCTTTTTTTTTTTTTTTAACATTTATTTGTTATGTTTATAGTGTTACGTATGCCTGCATGACAGAAGAGGGCACCAGATCTCATTACAGGTGGCTTGTGAATCACCATGAGGTTGCTGGGAATTGAACTCCGGACCTCTGACAGAGCAGGCAGTGCTCTTAACCACTGAGCTATCTCTCCAGCTCCAGTGATACTGATTCTTACACGGTGCAGACAGAAACAGGCCAGATAAGCATGTGAATAACCCACTGGCCCCATAATTGAACAATCTCACTTCTCAGAGTCCAGAGAGTCACACTTATAGATAATATAATGCATGCCCACTTGGGCATGCATGTCTGTGTCCTTTAAAAAGTAGAAAGGCAAGCCATCCACCTGAACTGTTTATACTATGCAGGAAAGAGTGCTTCATCCATGAGTTGGGCATTTCTGAAATAATGAGCTTTACTAATTCCTAAAGACTAGAGAATCTTCATCTCCAAAGACGTTAATGAATACGTAAAAAGTCAAGCCAAATGGGGAAGAAAAGTATGAAGAAATTACAACCTAAGAGTCAAATGCTTCCCTGTAACTGATGAAAGGTCAATAGGAAACAAATGATCATTAGCCTTGTCTCTCTGATAACACCAGGAGGAAATTCTAGATTGAGCATTAACAAACCTCCCCTTTCCCAGTGAACACTCACTTTCTCTCCACACCAAACCAGTGTAATGTCTCAGTTCTCCTTGTGTTCTCATTAGGTACTGACATGGGGCGATACTGTTAGTGGGTTGGTGTCTACAGGATACTGTCTCAAAATCAATCTTCTCTAAGAGGGTTCAATTTAACTTTTCAGATTTCTGCCACTCCCAGTTTGGCAGTACTGGGGATTAAATCCAGGCCCTTGGAACATGCTAGGTAAGCCCTCTCTATCACTGAGCTACATTCCCAGCCCTGCATATTCAAGTTTAGAACCTTATAGAGGGTTTCTAATACTTATTAGAAACCAAGTCTGTAATGTATATAGAACGGAATTGTTACTGGAGAGATACATTATTTATATGGTATCTTTTTCTGAACATTCATGTGTTTCCAAAAACATCTGTGGATCTGTGACGAATCCACCCCCATGGATACATCTACGGGGAAGAAATACACCTGCCTATATCCAGCTAATGCAGGGAGACGAGTAACTGAAATTAAATCAAACGTTAAAAAGTTTGAGATAAAGATCTCAATAGACCATGTCCCTATAACCCTTTCCTGTTTGGTGACCCATAGCATGCATGCACAGGCTGTTGGCAGCGGAGAAGTTGAAAGAAGGGAATTAAGAAATAGCTTGCTGGGCATTGGTGGCGCACTCTGTTAATCCCAATGCTCGGAAAGCAGAGGCAGGAGGATCTCTGTGAGTTCGGGGCCAGCCTGGTCTACAGAACGAGTTCCAGGACAGGCTCCAAAGCTACACAGAGAAACCCTGTCTCAAAAAAAGAAAAGTAACAGCTGACCTTGTCCATCCACCCACGGGCTGGAAATACCGGGAACCGTGATTTGGCTGTGCCCAGCTGCCAGAGGCCTTGTGGGAAAGGCTGTGCCAGGAGACTCACCTTGATGTTCTCCTCCTGAAGCAAACTGTTGTGCTGTTTGAAGTCCGAGCTCCTTCCCCGCTCGTAACGCAGCTCCTTCTCAGCTGAGTTGCACAGGATCTGGAGGCGGTGCAGGTTCTGTTGCAGTTGCTGTACTTCCCCTTGACGCTGGCAGATCACTTTCTCCCCAGATGTTAGGTACTGAGGCAAACATTTAAGAGAGACACTCACTCGAGAGGGCACTGGTGATGTGTGGGGTCTGGCTATCAGCGCAACTGTAGGGATCTGGGTGCCCAGGAGCAAAGCCTGTGGGTGTTGGTTCTCTCACCTACAACAGACCATGCTTCTACAGCGTAATTCAAAAGCCTCTACACTGGAGTGAAAAGGCCAGAGGACTATGGCAACAAAAGCAGCTGCGCATGGACAGTTAACCTTTCTAATGTCTCATGTCAATGAACGGCAAACAGAGTAGAGGAATCTTAAAGTAAAAGACCCATTTTTGAGTCTCAGAACTACAAAAATCCCTTAAGAATTAAAACAATCAGGAATTCACACTATTTTGTAGTTTTTTTTTTAAAGTTTAATTTAAAATTGTATTTTATTTTACGTCTATGGGCATTTGCCTGCATGTATGCCGGTGCACCGCTTGTATGCCTGATCCCTGTGGAGGCCAGAAATGTATCAGATCCCCTGGAACTGGAGTTACAGTTGTGAGCTGCCATGTGGGTCCTGGGAATAAAATCTGGGTCCTCTGGAAGAGCAGCTAACACCCCTAACTGCTGAGCCATCTCTCCAGCTCCACATTTAATTAAAATTAAAAAATTAATAAAATGAAAAATTAAATACAAACCAAAGTTCAAATACTGGTTTCATGGGAAGATCATTCCTGCTATGTAAACAGAGTGAGGATACAGGCTTTAAATCCTCCCATCCGGGGATGTGGCTGGTGTGGACCAGAGAGTGAGTCATCATTGTCCTCAGCTAAGCATCCTTTAGAATTTTATTCATTTTTCCCCTCAAGACAAGGTTTCTCTGTGTAGCCCTGGCTGTCTTAGAACTTGCTCTGTAGACAAGGCTGGCCTCAAACTCACAGAAATCTGCTTGCCTCTGCCTCCCAAGGGCTGGGATTAATGGTGTGCGCCACCACCACTTGGCCTCAGAATTTTATTCTTTCTTAGCTCTCTATAGGAAGAGACTTCATTGTTTAGGTGTATTCATGTGATATTTCAAATTACTTCACAAAAATTAATTACTTGGTATTCTGGTTTTATCCAAGAGCCTTGACAATCTGATCAAATTCAGTTAATCCCTAAAACACAGATTTTATTGTAGGTCAGCTTAAACATCAAGTGTGGGGTCTGACTTGGGATAAATTCACCAAGATAATTTACAATACTATAGGAGGGCTTTGGGGAGGCAGATCACTATTCTTCCTTGGGACAATGGAGTGAGAACTGTATACTTTTTTGTGGGTTGTTAGCAAAGGGAAGCAATTGGTGAAGCAACCAGAGAATCACACTCTAAATTCTAGAGTCTAGAGGAAGTAGACCAGGGTTTCACTACTTCTTCAATGTGGGCAAATACCTCCTATCTTATTCTAAAGCCTCCATTCCTCCACCTGTAAGATGCTCCTGATTATATTCCTAACCCATCATATTATTTAATGCACATGGGTGGTCTAGTGTGGTACCTAGAGCACAGCCAAATACCCAAATGTTCTCTAGAAACAGTTTTAAGTCCACACAATTAAGATAATACTGCTTCCAACTTGGTTCAAGAGTAGTAGGAAAGTAACCTCCCCTGGACTAGTTTTAACTAGACAGCATCCACAGCTGACATCACAAAATACTTCTGGCCGATATAACTCACAGGCTTGCTTATGAGAGAGGTTCCCATGAGTCTTTTTCTATTTATAAGCATTCTGAGAAGTTCAGCATCTGGCTTGTCTGTTGTTAAAATTGTACGTTTAAGAGTATTAAGCTAACAGAACAGTACTTAGATACTACAGTCTGGCATCAGGGGTGAAGACCACACACACACACACACACACACACACACACACACACACACACACATTGGGGAAAAAAAAAGAAATTTCCTGATTTGGGAAATAGAAAGTTCAAATACAAATAATTTTCCCTCATGAGTTCCACACCTATCTTTTTATTTCTTGCTTTTACAACAGATAAATGGTTTCCTTTCCATAAATCTTACTGGTACAACAAAATGAAGGTAGACCTTTGTAACACAAACAGTATCTGATAATGGATCCAAGATTTTATTATAAAGCTAAAACTATAAAAATAGAATCAGAAGAAACATGAGAACAAAGCCTTCTTATGATTATTTAGATATAACCATGAGACAAACATTAAAAAGTTGCAAATGGGGTTGGGTGCAGTGGTGCACTCACCTTTAATCCCAGCACTTAGGAGACAGAGGCAGGAAGATCTCTGAGTTTGAGGCCAGCCTGGTCTACAGAGTGAGTTCCAGGACAGGCAGAGCCACACTGGGAAACCCTGTATGAGACAAACAAACAATTATAAATGGGGCACTGTCTGGGGAGATGGTTAAAGTGGTTAAAGTGCTATACAATCAAGATAACCATAGGTCAGGTCCCCCAAACCCACAAAAATGCTGGGTGGGTGGGTCCAAGTGGCAGCCTGCCTGTAATTCTTGTCTTGAAGGCAGAGGCAGGTGATCCTTTCAACAAGCTGACTAGTTAGAGGAGCCCTATCAGTCACCTCTGGGTTTGACTGAGAGACCCTGCCTCAAAGATAAGGTGGAAGACTGATCATAGATGGTTCCCAATATCAACTTTGGGCCTCCATGCATACATGTGTACATATGTGTTTGTACGTGGGTGTACTCACAAGCAAACAAATGTGCATGCAAACACACATAGGCATGAGAATTTTAATAATTCATAGATGGGTGTTTATATAATAAAAACATGTATGTCTCAATAGGTAATGGATATTGAAAATGAGGGGTTATAATATTTGGGTATCAAATATCTAATAAGATATATACAGAATATACGATGAACTTTTACAACTCAATGAGACAAAACAAATGTAATCCAGTTAAAGCTAGGGAAAGGATCTGACTAGACATTTCTCTAATGACAGTGTGCAAGAGGCTGATGAAAATATTTAAAAATACATCATGTCGGGGGCTGGAGAGATGGCTCAGAGGTTAAGAGCACCGACTGCTCTTCCAGAGGTCCTGAGTTCAATTCTCAGCAACCATATGGTAGCTTACAACCATCCCTTATGAGATCTGGTGCCCTCTTCTGGTGTGCAGATATACATGGAAGCAGAATGTTGTATACATGATAAATAAATTTTAAAAAGTACATCATGTCATTACTCATTAGGAAAATTAAAAAAAAAGCCACAATGAAATACTACTTTATAGACACTAAAATGAGACAAATACAGTTTTGGCAAAGAGAGGAGAATCTGAGACCATGTATGTTACTTGTATGACCCACTAATTTTGTCCTTGATGTTGACATAATGGAATTAGAAATATATGAGGTCTTGGGATGGTGGTACATGCATGGAATCCTGGCACTGGGGAGACTGAGGTAGGAGGCTCTGGAGTTGGATGCCAGCCAGCCTGGGCTTTATAGAGACTCCCAACTCAAAAACAGCAACAAACAAAACCCAAACTCCAAATGAAATGAGATGACTGTGCATAAGTGTTCATAGCGTTCCTATTCATAACAATCAAACAGTCAACAACTCATGTAAAATACGGCATAACCATAAAAGATGTAACCAGCCTGAAAAAGTATGAAGATACATACTACCATCTTGAATAAGCTTTGAAAACCCATAGCTTGAAACATGTCAGTCACAAAAGGCCATCTATTATGATGCTAAATATACAGAAAGACCCAGAGTAGACAACTTGATGGTGACAGAAAGTAGATTAGCGGTTGTTTGTCTAGGGTGGGGGCAATAAAGGAAACAGGGAGTAATGTAAAGTGGGAGTGTCCTAGTAAGCTTTAATTGTCAACTTGACCCAACCTAGAGCCAGCCAAAGGAATCCCAGTTGAGGGGTTGCCCAGGCCAGTCAAAACAACTGAAGCACCAATTCAAATGTTTACATTGTGTGGGGTCTTAGTTATTTTACTGTTGCTGTGGTAAAACACTGTGACAAAGGCAACTTATTTAAGAAAGCATTTAATTAGGCATTTGGTTCCATGGGGCTAGCAGAGGCTATGGTTGCAGGAGCAGCTGAGAGTACACATCTCCAACCACAAGCAAGAGATAGCGAGCACATTGGGAATGGAAAGGTGCTAGTCATTTTTTTTTTCCCCAAAAGATTAGCCCCTAGTGACACATCACCTCCAACAATGTCTAATTTTTCCTAGACCTTTCCACCAACTGGGGACCAAGTATTCAAACATCTGAGCCTATGTCACTCAAACTATTTCAATAATTGCATTTAAAAAAATAACAAGAGAGGCTGGACACATGGCTCACTGGTTAAGAGCAGGTGCTACTCTTCCAGAGGACCTGGTTTGATTTCCAACCATGTGTAACTTCAGTCCCTGGGTGCACAGACATACCACACGCAGGCAAACACCCACACACATTTTCCTTTTAATTAAAAGAAATAGAACCTAGTATCTTTCCCCCCAAACTTTTCATGTCTTTGACCCAGAATAACCAAATGTTATGTCCCCCAATGCAACTAACCCAAGTGCTATGGGTAAGCCCCATAGGTATGTCACACATTCCACTGGGAGAGTCATGAGAGAACAGCTTTGTAAGACAAGGAGGGAGATGTCAGGCCAAAAGTGAGTTTGCAGCCATGTCCAGCAGACGACAGGGATATCAGCACATCCCACTGATTCAGTGCCACCAATGTGGGCTGGCATCTGTTTTGAAGCTGCAGTAAGGTGGGATTTAGGTCTTGATCTTACTTATAGAGGTGACATAGCTCTCTAGATCACCTTCAAGCACTGAGCTTAGCTAACACATAGACACATACATGGCATACAGAACTCTATGATGACCAAAGTATGCAGGCAGATGATGCCCATTTATAGAGGTCCCTGTGGTCTGCTTGGGCAGTGTAAGTGGGTTCTCCACTCACTCATCCCAATACAGAACTTTTCAACTAGACTTCAACACTCAGCGCTGCATCCCCCAGGCTAGACATTCACCTTTGAGCTTTGAGAAGAGTTTAGAACATGACCAGGAGGGAAAAGTGGGTCCTGTTGGACCACAGACCATTAGCTGGACTCTAATGCGGCATTAGCTTCATCGACCTTATTCATTGCATTCCAGACAATTCGCCTTGGTCAAAGACATAAGAACTTCAACTTTTTTCAGTAACTCATGGTCGTTAGGGGGGAAAACTTACTCAACTACACTAGAATTTGCTGAAGTCCCAAGAGGCTGTGTGGTCTGTAGAATTATCTGCCCTTCCCCAAAGTGGATACACTCAAAATTTCCTTAGAATTTTTTTTGCATATTTTGTAGTTTCAAACTTTCTGTTTGTCATTATTGTGAGTGGCCCTGTTTCTGTTGTTTGAGAATTTCATGCATATATATGTTTTTGATCAATATATTCTCATTCTCTGACTTCCCATTCTTTCCCCACCCTCCTTCCACAAGTCCCTCCCAGTTTTGTTCTTTGTTAGTAGGTGTTGACTAATAAGTGCTTCAAACAAAGGGAAAGATACATTAAACTAACAAATTATCCAGGAATTACTTTTCAGACATTAAGTTACATGTGGGCAAAAGTTTTATAATCTTAGCTGAGCTGGTGGCACATTCCTGTGATCCCATCACTCAGGATCGAGCCAGGAAGATTTTAGAGTTTGAGGTTAGCCTGGGCTACATAGTGAAATTTCAGGCCAGCCTGACTGCAAAGCAGCACCCTGACCCCCCAGACAAACCAAACCAACAACAACAAAACCCCAAACAACAACAACAAAGATTTTGTAATCTTTGTGTCCCATTCAGCATCTTCTCAAACCTGCTACTCTAGCCCAGTGTCTTAGAAAGGGAGAGCTGGGGTCCAAATGGGTCTTACTGTTGGGCATTTGATGTCATGCTCTTCTTTGGACTTCTGAGGCAAACAAGATCTGAATCTGCTTTCGTGTGTGTGTGTGTGTGTGTGTGTGTGTGTGTGTGTGTGAGAGAGAGAGAGAGAGAGAGAGAGAGAGAGAGAGAGAGATGACAAGGTCTCATTCTGCTGCAGCACAGGCTGCCTTTGAACTCCTGAGTGGTCTTCCCTCTTCAGTCTCTGGTGAGTCTATAGTCATGAGCCACCAAACCTGGCTATATTTTCTTTAATTACTATAGCTTTTCCAAGTTTTAAATTCTATTTCCAAATGTACATTTTACTCTCCTCCTTCTCCTACTCTCTCCCCATGCTGGACTCGATCCTGGGCATGCTTACATTTCCAGCCCTCAGTGTGCACCTCCACACCTTTAATCCCAGCATTTGGGAGGCACAGGCAGGCAGATCTCTGTGAGTTCAAGGACAGCATGATCTGAGTTAGTTCAAGGACAGCCTAGGTTATAAAAAGAAAAGACAAAAACAAAACAAAACAAAAACCCCCTCTCTTAAAACCAACCAACCAACCAAACAAACAAACAAAAAAACCTCTCAACTAATTTTGGGCAGGTCATGATGTCCCATGCCCATGAGAGGCCTGCAGATCTCAGTGATCCAGCCTGGCTCTATAGAGTTTCAGGCCAGCCAGGGTTACATAGTGAGATACTGTTTCAAAGTAAGCAAATAAATAATAACAATGAAAGGTTTGGCTGTTTCTGTGCATGTGACTGCAGGTGCCCTCAGAGGCCAAAGGTGTTAAATCCCCTTCCAACTGGAGTTAAAGATGGTTGGGAGTCACCCACTGTGGGTTCTGAGTTCAGGTTCTCTGCAAGAGCAGAACTCACTCTTAACTGCTGAGGCAGCTCTCCAGCCTTCTGTTGTATAAAGCATTCCCTTTGTTTACTTCTCAAGTACATATTATCAACCTTTTTTTCTCTTACAGCCCAGGCTAGCCTCAAAGTCACTAAGTAACAGAGGGTGACCTAGAGCTCTTGATCCTCCTGCCTCTACCTCTTAAATTCTGGGCTAGCAGGAATAGCACCTGGCATTTTATCAGCCCTTTGAAGGTGGTTTACTTGCAAATACAACAGTCTTCTGAGGATCTCAAGTAATTTCTGGGAAGGTATCTACAGAGAAATTTTATTCTGTACAATGGAGTCCTGTAAGATTAAGAACCCAAGTGGGGCTGGGGCCGCTCCCTTTAATTCTCTTATAGGTAGATCATATTTAAAACAATTTCCTGAGGTCATTTTCTCTACTAAAACGAACACACTTGGCTCACTAAGCCACCTGGAATAGGAAGGGTGGCACATACCCCTACCCCCTCACCCCCGAAAGGCAGATGTGTTCCTTCTGAGCCCACCTCCATCTTACTGCTCAGAGGGCGCTTCCGTGTTTAAAACCCACAGGGAGGCAGGAGGAGAGAACCAACTCAACAAAGTTGTGTTGCCCCTCCCCCAATAAAGTGAATCAACAGGTTCAGACTTGGGTTGTAAGTTTATTAATAACCATTCAAGCTGAGGCTGTAACGTTGTATAAGAGACATGAAGAACTAAGATGGTAAAAATGATGCCTGTTTCCAGGGCTAGTCCCAGGGATCAGACCCACAGCTTGTGTCTGCAGCACCTACCTGGGCGCTACTGTCATCTGAGCTATCCCCACATTGCTGAGAGTGGAGACTCAGCTCTTCTCCAAGCCTCCCAGCTTCTCTGGGATCCATGGCCAACAGCTGTTCATGGTCTCCATTCTGCTGTGGCTCCTCCTGCCTCTCTCTTGGAAAAGTGGCGGCCTTCATTGCCTCCTCTGGCGTCTCCTCCTGCTTACTGTCTCCTAATTCAAAACTTGGTACAAACGCAACAATAAAAGATCTATCACATAAATATTCTTGTGGCTGAAGAAAATCCTACACACTAGAGAATTTTTTTTTTTTTTTTTTGTCAAACTTGAATTGTATGGCTGGAAGTTTTATCGCAATGACTATTATCTTTTCACTCACAGGCAAGGAGATGACATATATTTTCATTTACAGCCCAACAACCAGTTTAAATTATTTTTTATCCTCTCTGGACTATTCTTATTGCACTGGACAGATTCAGGTCATAAAGAGTTCCAAATGTCACTTAAAAGCAGGTACTTCAACAGGCAATGGGGCTAAAGTGAGTTCTAAGAGGTTTATAATTGAGAACTAAGGAAATCTAGACAGTAATTAGGCTAAGTAGTAATAGCTTGGTTAACCATTGATATGAGCTAAAGAAAGACAGGGATAAAAGTGTATGTGTATTTACACACACACACACACACACACACACACACACGTTGGTTGGAGATTTTAGTACAGATAAGAACACAGGAAAACAAAGTATCCCAGGATGCTTTAATGAATAAGATCTGCAGGGGCTAGCAAGATGGCTCAGTGGATAAAGGTGCCTGCTGCCAAGCCTGATGACCTGAGTTTAATCTTTGGGACTCACATGGTAGTAGGAAAGAATCAAGCCCTTTTAAGTTGTCCTCTGACCTTCACAAGAGTACTGAGGCATGCTTGCACCTCCCATTCCCCAGTTAAGTAAATGGGTTTGTTTTTATTTTTGTTTTTAAATAGAAATAAAAAAAACATGCCAGGGAAACTTGATGAGAGGCTGTTGTCTCCATCCACATACTAAAGTCAGGAGTGGGAACCAGGATTGGGTCTTGGAGACTTCCAAGTCAGTGTTCACGACATTCACCATCTGTCAGCTGTGGCAGGTGAGGAAGAACAAGGTGACGCCTAGATTTCTAACCAGGGCAAACTCATGAATAGTCGGTGGACCAGGGTGGAAGGGTGCACATAAGGAACAGGCAGATGCTTGAGGATCCAGACACATGGGAGCAGAGGGAGAGACCTCAGCACTGAACACAAGAGGGGGATCTCGGATGAAGGGTTCATCTTAGACAGGAGCCAAGGGCTTGCAAAGAGCAAGCAGAAGGGACTGGAAAGCCAGAGAAAGAGGGGGCACCCTTGAGAATGTAAGCCACAAACAGAAGGAGGGATGCAGCAGCTTCGGCCACCGGGGAATGAATAGAAGATGGAGTGCTCACAGACATGCTGGGCGGGCGGTCTTGCTGCATCTTGCTTCCGCTGTCTTTCTCTTTTGGCAGTGCTGGAACTGACTCCAGGGCTTTCTGCATGCTAGGTAAACATTCTGCCACTATACCCCAGTCCCTCTTTTCTTTCTATTCCCTCAATCTGAAGTTCTTTTGGGGCACCCTGGAGCCCAGCACTGCATGCTTCACCAATCACAGTTGTTACATTCAAGAAGGCAGTTGGCAACACAAATCAAGAGCCATAAAAATATTCAGAATCTGAGGCTGGAGAGAATCTGAGGCTCAGCAGTTAAGAGCACTGGTTGCTCTTCCAGAGGACCTGGATTCAATGCCTAGGTGACAGCTGAAAACCATCTGTAACTCCAGTTCCAGGGAATCTGATTTCTTCTTCCAGCCTCCATAGGTACCAGGCAGGCATGTGATGCACAGACATACATGCAGGCAAAACACCCCTGTATATAAAAATAGTTGATTCAAAAAGAAAGCCCTAAGCCATCTTAAAATGTTTAGATTCTGAAAAACTGTAACCCGTGAACATAACATTGTTCTGTGGCACTGTGAATTGGAGCTAGGGTTTCATGCACGTTAGGCAGGTGCTATACTATTGAGCTATAACCCGTGTCTCCGTGAATATATGGTAATAGCAATAAAATAATTCATAAGAAAAAAGCTGAGTGTTCAATGCTGCTCACAATAATGTTATTTAAAACAATAGATAATGGGAAACACTGTTCCTGGCCAGACATGGTTTTATTGCTTCCCCCAAGGGGATCTCCTGAGCAAGCCAGCCAGCAGGACTAGTTTGATTGAGATACCCTTCAGCTAATGAGAGGGAAAAGCAGTCAAGGATTACTCCTGACATCAACCTCCGGCCTTGATATGCAGGCACACAAACATGCACACACACCTCCACACATGCAAACATGCCCACACATGCATACACACAGACAAAAAAAAAAAAAAAAAAAAAAAAAAAAAAAAAAAACAGAAAAAAAGAACATGATTGTTCCCTCCTTGCTCCCTGGCTTCCAGACTCCATGTAATGCCTTCTTGCAACATGTTCCTTCTGCTGTAACGCCATCTGTTGGAAGCCCTCACCAGAGATGGGGGGCCATGTTTCTGAACCTCCAGAACCACGAGCCAAATAAACTTCATAAAAAATTCAGCCTCAAGTATTTTGTCATACTAATAGACATGTTCCCCAAATCAGCAAACAAAACAATCCGGCTAGAATTCAAGTTATTTTATTTAAAATTGTATTACATTTAAAGTGTGTGAGTGTGTGTGTGTGTGTGTGTGTGTGTGTGTGTGTGTGTGTGTGTGTTCGTGTTCATGCATGCATGCCCCTGTGCACCTGTGGAAGTCAGAGGACAACCTGTGGGAGCCAGTTCTATCCTGTCATATAGGTTCTAGCGATCAAACTCGGGCTTGGTGGCAAGCACCCTTACTCCCTGAGCCATCTTTCTGGCCCTCCCTCTATATTTTGAGATGGGGGGGGTCTCTCACTGAACCCAGAGTTCACCAATTTAGCTAAATGGCCTGGCCTGTGTGTTCCAAGGACCCTTCCATCTCCATGTGCCAAACCAGTAGAGGGACATGTGAACATTACTGTGCCTGGCTTTCACATGGGTGCTGGAGATCTGAACTTAGGTCCTCATGCTTGCCTGGCAAGCCCTTCACTGCCTGGGCCATCTCCCTGGCCACCTCTTACATTATTTTTTAAGACTTTCCCCATGCTAAGCTTATCTTCTTCAGCTCGATTAGAGTCACTAATCACAAAGTCCTATTGATTTTTTTAAAAATGTTTACACATTGCAGGCAGAGTGATTTTCCTATAGCACTAACCTACTGTTTTGCCCAGGCTGCTAAACTCTATAGGAGTTTTTATTGTCTAAGTCCTTAACTAGGGTTGTGGACATAGTTCAGTGTTGGGTGCTTCTTTAGCACATGTGAAGCCCCATGATTAACCCCAAAATTGCAAATCCAGCAAGCAAACACTTCCCTGACATAAGCATTCCATGCAACTATATGTTTGGGAGTCTGCCTGCATCATATTCTTACTGTTCCCCTTCCCTAGAGTTCTAAACTACCTCACACAAACCTATGCCCCTTTGACATCAAGTTCTGCTGCCCCTCCTCCCCGTTTCTCTCTGTCCCTGTGTCCCTGCACCCTCGTTGGGCCCTTGGTAGACTATGAAGCTGGCAGTGCCTTTTTAAACTGCCTCCTCCCATCAGACCACAACGTTAAACCTGCCTGAGTTTGTGCCCTCCCTCTGCTTGGAGCACCTGCACACAGGGGACAAATGCTTAATGCTAAATGTGGTTGTGTTCCAGGTCTGACTGAAGTGGAGCCTGCCAAGGGGTGCAGGCAATAAAGCAGGAGCCATTAGAGACAGGCAGAGACAGAAGCATGTGGTTGATACCCAGAGTTCTCATAGTCCCAACAATGGGAAGTAGTTTGGGCCAAGCCACGGAAACAAGGGTGGTGAGCATTGTAATTTAAAAAAAAAAAAAAAAAGTGGCACAAGAGAGAAAGATGCCATGCGACAGAGTTCAAGTGGAGGGTTTTTTTGTTTTGTTTTGTTTGTTTTAATTAGGGGAAAGGGAATGGGAAAGGGGGGAAGGAAAGGGGAGAGGGACTGGCCTCTGAAGACAGGAGCAGTGGGAGAGAAGAAACAGAGTGAGAGAGAGAGAGAGAGAGAGAGAGAGACAGACAAAGAGAAAGGAAGAAAGAGAAAGGGGAATGGGGTTTTAAAAGGGAACACAGTGAATAGGCAGAGGAGGTGCTCTTAGTGGCAGCAGCTGAGGGTGTATACTATCAGAACTCCAAAGGTAGGCCAGTAGAGATGCCTAGATACTAACAGTGAGGAGCTCTCTAGATAGAAGTCCAGAGTCCGTCTCCTGGTAGAGTTCCTGCCATCGAGGAATGATTGTGTGGCAAGTCTCCCCACTGGTGACCCACCCCAGCCAGGTGGGGTTGAGCACCTCTGACTGATACTGTCAATTCTTTCGGTGAAGTCTTCAGGGTGATTGCTACATCCCAGCAGCCTCTTGCTCCAGGCTACTGTTCCTTCAACTGTGGCTCACAGTGGATTAATCAACCTGCCTGTCACGTTCCATCTTCATCTAATGAGATGCTAGGATAACTTCCCTAGAAACCTGTCACACTGTCCCCAGGCTCGAGAATTAGGCTTTCTCGATCCCTCTACCAAACCTAAACATGGTGAGCCAACTTCTTAGGTACTTGCTTTTGGGCTCACTATCACAGCCTGCCCCCACTCTCCAAGATGCCCTCCCCACCCCACACCTGCCAACCCCGTCTCTCCAAGATGCCCTTCCCTCCCCACCTCTCCGTTTCCTGGTTGGGAATCTTGAACTCAGAGCTAACTCTAAAGTTTAAAGAAATTTTTAAGAGAACATGAAATTCAGGATCTTTCAAATTGGCAAAGCAGAAATAAATTTGGTGACACCAGGACCCAATTTCCCCAGTTCATGGAAAAGGGTGTCCTTTAGGTTGGTGTCTAAGAAGCATGGGCATCTACTGTTTCCTTCTCAGTGACCTTTTGTCTGAACATAGTAATTTGTTCCTACTAGTTTTTGTACCAGATTAGAGCAGATCATTTGCCCAAAGTCTCCAAAACTTCTGTGAAGGATAATTTTGGTTAATATGTATAAACACAGAGTTGAGGAGCAAGATTAAACAAATAAATAAAAGAGAAACATTCTTAAAACTCAATTTTCAGGTAAATGTCAAATAAGATCAGCAAAACAGAAACTATATACAGAGAGAGTACAGCCTTGATTGTGTAAAAACAGTTTAACTGTGTAAAAGAGATTGATCTGTGAGTGTGTTGCTCCCTGAGGAGAGTTGTGGGTTATTATAATCACTTTTACTTTTTACATGCTTCCTATGTTTCAACAGAAAGCACATGCTAACTTTCAAAAGCAAGAGGAAAAGTTTCAAAGTGTAATGTTAATGCTAAATCACAAATTGGTGTGCCCTGTGAGCCCGCTGCTCTGTCGGTCTGTTCTCTTCCATTATACTCAGCGTACGATTGTTACAAAAAAAAAAAAGGACAAACTCTAGGAAATGCTTGAACTAATTTCTTCCTGATTACATCTCTTGAAAATGAAGGTGAAATCCTTAGGATAACCAGGCCAAATAAACCCCCTGCAATTACTGTGTTCAGGACCCTTCTCAGTTTACCAGAGTGCCTGTCTTTCTTCACTTGGGCTCAGAAGCTCTGCTTCCAAAAGTGGCACTTTAGACACCAGCTCTTCACAGAGGTTTTCACTTGCCATTAAACTAGCAGTTCTGTCCCCTACAGAACAATGTTTTAACTGTTCCAATTCTTGTGAAAACTTCAAGACCTGTAAAGTTAAGTGAAAAAGCAAATGTTCTAATTTGCAGACTCTTATGGGTGAGTATGAAAAAAGTATACTAACTCTGCCAAATGCTTCATTACTGCCTTAAGCTATCTAAACTGGTGCCCCACTGCAAATCTTACTACAATTTAGTTTAATATTTCTCAGGTGTCATATAACTTAATCCATGTTTACAATAGACATAAGGGTATGTAATACCATGATTTAACCAACTAAACAAACAAATAAATAAACAGGTATTTTGGTCTTTGATGTTGGCATTTCAGATTGCTGTTTACAATTGGGTTGTATCTTTAAACAGAAACAATGAAACAAACGTCAACAAAACTCCAATGATCTCTTAACATGCTTACTATACACTTTTGAGCCAGGCTGTGGTGGCACACACCTTTATTCCCAGCACTTGGGAGGCAGAGGCAGGCGGATCTCTGTGAGTTCAAGGTTAACATGGCCTGCAAACTGAGTTCTAGGACAGCCAAGGGCTACACAGAGAAACCCTGTCTTGAAAAACCAAATGTACAAAAACAATCATATACTTTTGTCCCCAGATTTTAATTGTGCTTCGTTGATTCATAAAAGTAGTAACATATTGCCTTGAGAAAATATTAGAAGGCTACCAGCATTTCTTCCAGTCTTACCCTATTTATTTGAAAATGCTTGAACCTATAAAGGTTCCTTAGGGGCTGTAGTGGTTCCTAAATGTCAGGCTATCTGACAGTTTATAAAAGACTCTCCCGTGGCCCAGGCTCAGTGTTTGACGGGAAATGAGAATCTGTGTAAGTTTCCTAGGGGAATCTGGAGCAAGCGGGTACTGTGTTGTGGGATCTGGTAAAATATTCATTTTTGTTTGTTTGCATTTGGAGGATTTTGCAGGTTTCCTGTCCTCAATGGTTACTCAGTGTATGTTCACACAAAATCCAAACAGACTTCCTTCCAGGAGTAGAGAGGCTGGTTGGGAAACAAAGATGGTTCACAGCACAGTCCTGAATGCAAAGTCTGACAATGCAAAGCTCCTACAGTAACTGGAATTGAATACAAGGCTTGATTTCAATGTACTTTAAGCAATTCTGTTGATGTCCTATGACTTTTCCTTCCTCTCAAGAGTAACTACAGAGTGCAGTATAGACTACCGTCCACATACCTCTCCCAAGGGCAATTACTTTCCAGTGAAGGTGGGCCTTGAACCTTGGAAGATGGGAGGCTATGGGTGGCTTATTTGAAGCTTAGGGAGTATATATGTGGTCAAAGACAGACATACAACTGACTCAAGACGCTTTGAAGAGGAGGGAGGAGGCCACAACATGAAGAGCTGAAGAAACAGGGAGACAGGCAGCAGGGGAGGGTCTTGGAAGAGGTTTTCTTAATGAGTGTGCATTATTTTTGCAAGCAGGAAAATAAATTCCAAAATGTTACTTAGTTTTTACAGTTATTCTGAAAATGCTGATATTACATAATAAGAATAAATTCTAGTTTTTAAATGATAGCAGACTGCAGAATTTGGGTTGAATACTCTAACAAATTGAAAACAAAAGTAACACAAACACCAAGCATTTTCTGGGTCTTCTGGACCCACACACAACAAAGTTGGGATGTCTCTTAAGCAGCTGGAAGCTTTCCTTTTTTTTAAAAAAAAAATTATCTCTTTAAAATTATGTGTGTATATGTGCGTGTACATGCAGTTGCCTGGGTAATCCAGAAAAGGAAATCAGATACCCTGGAGCTGGAATTACAGGCAGTCATGAGCCGCTTGATGTGGGTGCTGAGAACCAAACTGGGGTCCTCTGCAGGAGCAATAGGTGCTCTTAACCACCAGCCCTCAAATGTTGCTATTTATCATGAAGAAAGTTAATCCTATTGGCCCTTCTGGGAGATGGACAGTATGGGAAATGACAAGTTTCCATTTGATCTTAGTGATAATAGTTCAGTCTAATCACCAGCCACATTTCAATAGCAAAGAACTGAGTAAGCTGTGTGTGCCACTCTGAGACTGGCTGAGAAACGCCACATACAGTTTGGCAGGAGTTCAGTCACTCAGGGCCCCCAGGCAATTTGTATAAATTGAATGAGCTGGCCTGTAAGATAACACCTGTTTCCACTACAAATTTCAGTGACACGAGTCTAGATGTGACCCAGACAAAAGTCTGTGAAATAAGAAGCTTTGGCAAATCTATAAGGCACAGCCCACATTACCCTGAGCCGGGTTCCTTTAAGTCTAGAGCAATGAGTATTCTCAAGAGAAGCTTCAGGGTTGGTCAGGATGCAAAGGCTCAGAACAAAAAGCTTTTCATGAACAATAGTTTGATGGGCAGGAATGTGGTGTCCCAAAGAAGCCATCCAGGAGATGGTTATCATTGCAAAGGGAAATGCAATAAACTTTACAGTGGGAAGATACAACAAAGAGCACCTCATCCAAATCAAGATTAACACAATGACAACATAGCTTGAGTCTCCCTATAAAATGTGTCGGGATGGAGACGTCATTTCCTTAAGATTCTTGTCTATAACAAGCAATTTGCATTGTACTGTGGGGAATCACCAGACAAACCCAAACTGAGGGACTTTCTTCCAAATAATAGGCTGTAATTCTTTCAAAAATCCCTAAACTGAAAATGAAACCTGGAACTGGAGAGATGGCTCAGCAATTAAGAGCACTGGCTGTTCTTCCAGAGGTCCTGAGTTCAATTTCCAGAAACCACATGGTGACTCACAACTATCTATGATGGGATCTGATGCCCTCTTCTGACATGCAGGCATACATGCAGACAGAGTACTCAGGATACACAAATAAATAAAAAAATTAATAAAATGAAACCCTCACCCTCCATATGGTGGTCTCAGAAGGAGACCTTAGAAAGCAGCTGGGCCACAAGGGCAAGGCTCTCATGATGACATTGATACCCCTTTGAGAACCATGTGGGGTGGGGAGATGGTTCAGGAGGTAAATCATTTGGAGTGAAAGCATAGGACCTAAGTTTGAATCCCCAGAACCCACGTAAAGCCAGATGCAATAGGGGGCTGGGGTAGGGGGTAGGTGGAGGGTGGAGGTGTGTGCAAAATCCCAGCACTCCTACAACATGATGAGGGCAGAGCCAAGAGACTCAAAGCTTGCAGACCAGCTAGCTTAGCATAGGCAGTAAGAAAAAATAAAAAACCCTAACTCAAACCAACTGGAAGGCCAGCTGAGGTTGACCCCCACATATGCTGTGGCATGAGCATGTCCACACTCACACGAACATTCATGTGCACACATATACCGAGGAGGAGGAGGAGGAGGAGGAGGAGGAGGAGGAGGAGGAGGAGGAAAGAACCAGGGGAAGATCTGCAAACCGGAAAGCAGGCTTCACCGGAATGGGGACTCTATTGTTGCCCTGACTTTGAACTTCCCAAACTAAACTGCAGAGCTGTGGGTAATAAATGTCATTTAAACTGCCCAGTCTATGATACTCTGTTAAAGCTGCCAAACTAAAGCTGGGCGTTGGTGGTGCACGCCTTTAATCCCAGCACTTGGGAGGCAGAGGCAGGCGGATCTCTGTGAGTTCGAGGCCAGCCTGGTCTCCAGAGCGAGTGCCAGGACAGGCTCCAAAGCTACACAGAGAAATCCTGTTTCGAAAACCAAAAAAAAAAAAAAAAAAAAAAAAAAAAAAAAAAAAAAAAAGCTGCCAAACTAAGACTTTTTCAAAAACCTCACAGACAGACAGACAGATAACTCCTGTGGGCAGATTCAAGGACTTAAAAAGCATTAAGTGACGGGGGTATGTCCTCTGTATGCTGTGACTATATGTTTCTCTTCTTGGTTGATGAATAAATGCTGGCTGTCCAGTAGCCAGGCAGGAAAGGGCTACCAGACTAGGAGAATGCAGGGGAAGAGGAAAGGCAGGGAGCAGATGAGAGAGAGAGAGAGAGAGAGAGAGAGAGAGAGAGAGAGAGAGAGAGAGAGAGAGGCGCCAGCGCTGAAGGGTTAACATACTGGAGCATTACCTGTAAGTCACAGCCACGTGGCAACACATAGTTTAATAGAAATAGGTTAATAATTAAGACAGAGCTAGCCAAATAGAAGCCTGAGCCATGAGCCAAACAACTTGTAATTAAAATAAACTTCTGTGTGTTTATTGTGACTGAACAGCTGTGGGACTGGAACCGAAAACTCTCTCTACAATTAAGTGATTTTATATTGTGTCTTAGACTAGACACGTTTTGAGTTGTTGTTCTCCTCCTCTTCATCATCTCCTGCTCCAATTATCTCCCCCTCCTCTTCATCTCTTCCTCCATCAGCATCTACTCCTCATCCTCCTCCTTTTCATCTCCTCCAAACTACCACCTTCCTCCTCGTCATCTTTCTCCATCAATATCTCCTCTTCATCTTCTCCAGTTATCTCTCCTACTCTTCATCTCCTCCACCTCCTTCTCGACTTTTGTTAAGGAGTGGGACTGACCACTCAGCATGCTGATGACTTGCCTTGCTAATAGTGTCCCACACATCTCCCTAGATTCTGGACCTTTCCTCCCTACATCCCACACCGTAAAATCCACACCCTAGAAATTCAGTTGATAGGAAGCTGTTTTAAGGTCAGACATTCACAGGAGGTTGAAGTCTAAATGTTTGCCCTGACTTATAACCCATACTGTATGTCATTTCATTATATACTAGCAGAAGAAACTTTTATTTCTAAGTCTGCTACCTAAAGGTTCCTTTTATTCTATCCACCCACAAGACATGTTAACTATTGAACACTCAAATAATCAATAATTCAATCTCACCTTGGCTTCTAATTCAGAATTCTCTCTTTGTAGCAGGTTATATGCTATTAAAAACTGGTCTCTGCCCTCAGCCCTTGGAAGACTTTGAATTTCCTTATAAAGGCTCAAGAGTTCTGATTTTGATTTTTGGAATTCCTGTTTAAGAAATGAAGATTTTTTTTATGAGAAAATATATTTAAATCTAAAATTGTTTTAAATAATAAATATTTTTTAAAATAAAAAACAAAACAAAAATAAATGTTAAAAAAGAAAGGAAGATATTTTGTAGGATAAATCAAGTATATTTCCCTGCAATGGAATAAAATTTCTAAAAAGGAATTTTGAAATGGTCCTAACAAATTGTTCAATGCTACATGTTATCAAACACAGTGTTTCAGTGTTTACCTTTTATAGGTTGGAAGATTGGGTGTCTACAGTCATTACTATTTTAAACAAAGCTTGGATAAAAATCTTTATTGGCCACTGCATTAAATATTTATTTGACTTAAAAATGCAGGGCTGGTAGGACAGCTCAGTGGGTGAACGAGCTTGCCATGCAAGCCTGGTGACCTAATTTGATCCTTGGAATCCATGCAGAGGTAAAAGGAGAAAACGGGTTCCACAGAGTTGTCCTCTGGTCTCAACACTTGTTCTGTGACAATGTATTATCTCCCTAGCCATATATACGTACACAACAACAATGATAACTTTTTTGGCTTTTTTCAAGACAGGGTTTCTCTGTAGCTTTGGAGGCTGTCCTGGAACTCACTCTGTAGACCAGGCTGGCCTCAAACTCACAGAGATCCACCTGCCTCTGCCTCCCTAGTGCTGGGATTAAAGGTGTGCACCACCAACGCCCGGCTAATAATAATAAATGTAAAACTTTATCTCACAGTGCCTTTCATAGAACATTGTGCTACAGTGTGGTGTAGCTTTAATCTGCACTCTGGCAAGGCTACTTCTGAAACTAGGGCTGGGCAGAGTGCCAGAACTTGGTTTCATGTAGCCAGAAAACTGTGAAGCCGCTTACATGCCTGTCTGACTTCAGACTCTGCCCTTAACTACAGATGCTGTTGCTGTACCACAATGTGTGCTCAATGACTCATGAGCCAGCATTTCCTCTAATCCTCAGATTATCTGTTTCTACTCAGTTCATGTGCAGTTATACACCATCCTCACACTTTCACACAGATCAGATGGGCAGTGTTTGATAGGGGAATGATGAGGGAATGATAGTTTGCGGTACCCAGTAGCCAAGAGGCCACATGGCATTTACTTTAGGAGAGGGGCTACTTGATGTCCTCTGAAAGCTTTTAAGTCCAGAGGGAATGGAAGGTGTGGGTGGGGCTGTAAAAAGGTAGCAAGTTGGGGGGCGGTGCTCCTAAATCCAGCCTAAATGAGAAGAGAAGGGTGGGGCCCTAGTCTAACTGGTAAGAGCCCTTGTAAGAAGAGAAGAGACACATGGGTCACACTTTGTCAAGAGGACACAGAAGGTGGCCAGGACTTCCCAGCCTCTAGGACTGTAAGGAAGTAGATTTCCATTGTTTAAGCCACACAGCCAATGGCACTGTTTTCTTTATTGTACTGCACGGCACAGGCATGAGAGCATAGCATGGGTGTGTGAAGCAGGAAGTTGGATGCCTTCCTCCATGACTCTCTGCCCGTTCCTTTGAGGCAGGGTCTCCCACTGAATGGGAAGCTTGTTGTTTCTGCTCGGTTGGCTGGCCAGCGATCTCTGTCCCCCAGTGCCGAGGTTTCAGACACACACAGTCATGCCTAACTTTTTACATGGTGTTGGGGATTCGAATTCAGGTCTTCACGTTTGCAAAGCAAGTGCTCTTAACTACTGAGCTATCTCCCCAAGGCCATAATTTGTTTTAAAATAGAAATAAATGGTCACATGAAATCTCTAAATTAGAAGACAAGAATCTGCCACCCTCAATGTGATACCTCAGTATCCACTCTCAAGGACTTCTGAATAGCAATAAAAGCAGACGCCAGTTGCTGTCGCTTCTCTCTCTCTTCTGACAAGTCACTCTCAGATACTTTAATGTTTTCTTGGCTTATTTTCAGTATCTGTAAAAGGCATTTTGCACAATTCACTTTATGATCTGTTATACAATCAAACTGTTACCTGTAATATTTAATAACAATAACCTCCTGCTTAGCTTAATGAAAAAGTCATGTGTGGGATATAGAAATGATATAGTTCATAGGACACATTTTTCTCTCTAAGCCCATTGATATAACTGCTATACGTAGTGAGCCTTGTCCTGCCTATAGCATAGCTACCATGGCAGGGGTAACATGTGGTTTTGAAGACATTTTATAAATGTTAACCATGCGCTAAATATATTTAAATTATTACTTACTTAGTTGGAGGGAGAACACACACCATGTTTGTTAGAGGACAATTTTTGAGAATTAGTTTTCTCCTTCCACCATGTGGGTCCCAGGAATCGAACTCAGGTTGTCAGGCTTAGCAGCAAGCACCTTTACCCTCTAAGCCAATGGTTCTCAACCTGTGGGTCAACCTCCAAAGGATGTCATGAATAACCTTGCCACAGGGGTGACCTAAGATCATCCTACATATCAGATATTTACATTAAAAGTCATGGCAGTAGTAAAAGTACAGTTATAAAGTTGCAATGAAAATAATTTTGTGGTTGGAGGCCACCACAACGTTGAGAACCACTGCCCTAAGCCATTTCTCTAGGCTTACTCCAAATGTAAGATATTGATGGAATCTTCCCAAATGAAATGCTAATGACAACTGGGGTAATAATTATAATGGCTGCCAGTTACCGATGGTCTGTCATGCATCAGACACTATAGTGAAGGCTCTACCTCAATTATCTCCCATTGTTTCTGAAGGATCACCATGGGATAGGAATGCAACTGTCATCACACCCCCCACCCCCACATCCCGCATAGGAGCTAAGTCTCAGATGTATGTCATTTCCTAAGGTCATACAGCTATTGCTGGCTGTCAAGTCCACATCTCACAAGCACTTACTTTTAATATCCATTCTATACAGCCACATCCATGTGCACTTTATGTTGTGTCTAAAACCTACTTGGGAATCTGCCTAAAACCAAAATGTGCCTTAGTGAGCACAGAGCAAGAATCCCCTTGACACGTTCCATGGAAAGAACAAGCTGTCAAGGGCAAACACACCTGGTCGGGCAGAGCCTCACTGCTTGTGTTTAGCACCCATGGTGTAATCCTTAGTTATTTCATCACTCTTAGCCTCAGTTTCCCCTGATGAGAACCAAGGACAGCAGTGTCTGGACATACATGGACACTTCTCAAGAGACACTGGGTCATATTGTTCTGAACTCACACCCATCTAGGTGAAGCAATGAGCTTAATCATCCCCTTTGTTCCCACAAGCCTCACTGACTTCTCCATGGAGGAGGCCTTCTGTAGACTTCTCATCACAACGGGCTGGAGACGGACCATCCCCAGAGCCGTGCTTTCTGTGTGCAGTGTTTTGAGCATTCTTATGTGGTTTGCCTCACATGTATTAAGAAATATAACTGAAGAATTATCTTTCCAAGCATGGTGTGGGGGGGATGGAAGCAGGAGGATTAGGAGTTCAAGGGTAGCTTTAGTTGTACAGTGAGTTAGTAGCCAGCCTAGCTGTATGAAACCTGTCTCAAGAGTATCATATTTTATTTTCATTTCTTACCTCATTAAAATCATGTACTTTAATTGCCTCTTGGTCTTTCATACTGGTGTCTCTTCAGTCTTCCTATGTTACTGATAACTTGGGCTCTCAGATGGAAATCTCAATCCAAATAAATCACCAGTTAAAATACACAAGCGTTACTAAAATATCCTTTGAATAAGCTACATTTATTTAAATTAATTTAAATTTTATTATTATTATTATTATTATTAGTAGTAGTAGTAGTGTGTGTGTGTGTGTGTGTGTGCTGTGTGTGTGTGCGCGCGCGCATGCATGCATGTGTGGGTACACTTGTGCAATGGTGCCCTTGTGGAGGTCAGAGAGTAATTTTTGTGGAATCTATTTTCTCCTTTTACCTTTTGTGGTTCCAGAGACTGATCTCAGGTCTCCAAGTTTGTGCCGAAAGCACCTTTACTCACTGGTCCATCTCACCAGGCCCCCAAATAGGCTACATTTCTTTTCTTTTAAAAGACATGCTTATTCTTGTCTTGTGCATATGAGTGCTTGCCTTTATGTATGTATATGCACCACATAAATGCAATGCCCTTGGCAGCCAGAAGAGGGTGTCAGATCTCCTGGAACCCAAATTATAGATTGTGAGCTTCTACATGAGGGCTGGGAATTGAACCTGGATTCTCTGCAAGAGGAGTAAACATCGCTGAGCCGCCTATCCAGGCCCAGGCTACATTTCTTAGGTATTTTTCTCTGAGACAAACCCCATGAGGTGTCTTCCAACAAATTTTAACTTCTTGCTTGGGTTAAGCCAACAGTTCTTTTTTTGTAGTTCATTTTAATTACAGGCTGACTTAATTGGTTTGGGCTTTTGCTGTTTGGCAGTGAGCCAAAGGAAACAAGCATTAGAAAAAAAGCTCTGAAGCATCCTGCTGCATTAATCAAGCTACTGTTTACAGTCCTTGTGTTCAAGATCCAGAAAACAAAACTAGCAAACTCAAACTGATGAGTTAGAAAGGAGAAGGGATACTACTTAAAAATGGATGTGAAGACTTGGGGTAAGTTAGATTCCTCCTGACAGTAGTTGGGCAAAATGTCGAGAATGGTGTCAACTTACAGCACTGCCTGAGGAGAGGAAGGAAGGATATATTTTTCTCCCAAATCATCTTCTCCCTTGTCATCACTCAACATCTGCCCTAGTGAACATTTTTGCATGTTTCCATAAGACAGTTCGATGCATTCAACTCTCAAGGCAGGAATCCCTTAGCTCTACTCACATGGTATCTGATCTTTAATATAAAGCAGGGAAGACTCCTAAACTCTAAGAACTAAGACACCCTGCATTTCCCTTGTATTTTCTTACTATTAGAATGTCATATCGTACAAGACCACTAATAGATACACTAATATGGATGGGGGAAGATCAGGAGGCCTCAACCCTAGACAAAGAACTACAGGCAACTAAGGAATGCTAAGAGCAGAGAAACAGTCTTCCAAGGAAGAGCTACCAATTGGTTATCCAATATCAAGTGGTCAGCCCCCAAAACACACACACATGCCAGTAGCCAGTACATTACACAGACTGAGTAGATTGTATTTATATTTTTAGGGATCCCCCCCTACGTGTGTGTGTGTGTGTGTGTGTGTGTGTGTGTGTGTGTGTGTGTGTGTGTGTGTGTGATGACAATTTAAAAGGAGACCATGAGGACTGGAGAGATGGCTCAGAGGTTAAGAGCACTGATTGCTCTTCCAAAGGTCCTGAGTTCAATTCCCAGCAACCACATGGTGGCTCACAACCATCTATATTGAGATCTAGGGCCCTCTTCTGGCCTACAGACACACATGGAGGCAGAACACTGTATATACAATAAATAAATAAATCTTTAAAAAAAAAAGAGAGACCAAGAATTTGAAAGAAAACATTGTGTGGGGGGGTATACATGGGAGGCTTTGGAGGGAGAAAAAGGAGGAAATGATACATTATAACCTCAAAAGATCATTTAAATTTTTTTAAAAACTATAAACAAAAAGAAGGTTATGTATTTTAACTTTTTTTTTTTTTTGAACTAGAGTCTCACTATGTATCTTTTTGGCTGTCTGATCTCACTATGTGAACCAAGCTGGCTTTGAACTCACAGAGATCCAATTGCCTTTGATTTTTCTTTCTTTCTTTCTTTCTTTCTTTTTTTTTTTTTTTTTGGTTTTTCGAGACAGGGTTTCTCTGTGTAGCTTTGGAGCCTATCCTGGCACTCGCTCTGGAGACCAGGCTGGCCTCGAACTCACAGAAATCCACCTGCCTCTGCCTCCCGAGTGCTGGGATTAAAGGCGTGTGCCACCAACGTCCGGCCCGATTGCCTTTGATTTCTAAAGCCAGGATTAAAGGTATATTCTATCATAACTGGATATTTTAAAGATAGATTTTAATGGTTAAGATAGTGTTTTCAAATAACATTTGAAAACTGAAAAAATAACTTATAATTTATACTTAATATGTAACACTGACAACTTATTGTATATTTGAAAAATAATATATTTGAAAGCATTTGAATGTATTTTAGAAGTATGTGTGTAAAATTTACCATAACTAGTGGCACACTGAATACAGCTATGCATCTGAGCAATTACATACTTCACATATTTCATGAGGCCAATGACCAAAGTTTGAAGCTGGAAATGGATGTAAACATGAGCTCTCTGGTGTCTAAAGGGAGCTGACCTCACCTGTCAGTCATCAGATGAAGAAGGCCAGTGACTTGTTGCAGGTTGCCTCCTTCACAAGGGCCAGCTGCCAAGGACTTGAGAAACAGTTTAACGGCTCAGAACACAGCATTGTCAATGTTCTGTATGGAAGGAGGGGCTCACTAATGCTCTGAATTTAACCATGCCTCCTGGGCACACACTGATAGGTGGCTCTCGCCACTGTCACCTCTCTCAATCACAGATGGCTGAGGCATTATAGAAGATGAAACACTGCCGACTCTTTGTGGAGTGGTTTCTGTACACATCGTTGGGCATGCTATGCCCTCCATAGGTTAGGAGTAATTCCCTCTATATAAGCTCTATAAATTTCCATGAGAGTTGGTACTGTGTAGGAAATGAACTCCAGGGGCTGGAGAAATGGCTCGGAGGTTAAGAGCACTGACTTCTCTTCCAAAGGACTAGTCATAGGGAAACCCTGTCTCAAAAAAACAAAACAAAACAAAAAACAAAAAAAATCCAAACCAATAAAATGTCTTAAAAAAAAAAAACCTCAGTGATTCACAAATATAATACTTTAATTATTTGGAACAAAATATGAACCTGTCAGGTATTTACAATCTCCTTTCTTCTTATTGATTTGTTTTGCAGCCACTCATTCATTCACTGAACAAACAATTATCAAGTGCAAATAAACACTGCCATTGACTGGACCATTAGGATGTAGCCCGGACTGCTAATGCTCTGTTACAGAGAAGGAAACTAAGGAGCAGGAAGCCATTTGTTCAGAGTCACACATAAGTGATAGAGCTAGGATTCAAACTCGGGCCATCTGAGGATGCTGTTGGTGTTCAGTTAGTTTTGTTTCTGTATTACAGTATCGCACCCACATTGCAGTTTATAACGATCTTTCTGCTGTGGATCTGATGTCTTCTTCTGGTCCTCCTCAGCACTGCATGAATACAATGCATAGACATATGTGCAGGCAAAACATCCATACACGTAGAAACAACAACAAAAATAAGCAGCCTGACATTTATGCAACAGCAATGATGCTGCTGTTCAGGCAGGGGCTTAAAATGAAGCATAATCACTGACAGGTTAGAGTATACTAGATCAGAACATATCACCTCTGTACCCTGAAGTACAACACCTGTCAGAACCAGTTCTCCTAAAGGACCCACTTAGATGATGCACAGCCATGCGGCTCACACCACTGCTTGCTATTGGACCCACACTAAACTCCAGGACCTAAAGCACACTGACCATTTCTCCAAGCACCTTTTTCTCGGAGTCAAGTGATCGAACCCGGTTTCTTAAAGCCAGAATCTCCTGGTCCAGCCTCTGGTTGTGTTCTCTTGCTCTCAGTAAGTCAGCTGCATCTAAACAAGAGAAAAGGTGGTTACTGCTTGGGTCACAGTTTTGCTTCGAGAGGCATTCATTTTGCATATGTGATTGTCTACACAGGAAAGCCACCAAATCATAATCTTCTACCAACCTATTGTAACAGGACAGAAGGGCTTCGCATTTCTCTCACAAGCCTAATGAACTTTTAGATTGCGGAGTTTCCAGCAATACAGGGTTCTGGGAACGTGAAACATTTCTTTATTTTTTTTGTGTGTGTGAGTGTGGCATGCAAATGCATATCAGAGGACAACTTGCTGGCATCAGATCTCTCCTTCAACCGTATGGGTCCTGGGAACTGGACTCAGGTCATTGACTTAACCCATTGAGTCATCTCAAAGTCCCCAGAGCTGAAATTTCAGCAGGGTGCAAATTATTTATTTACTTATTTTTAGCCCTGATGCATTCTTCTTTTTTTATGTCACTCACTATTTTATTTATTTTTATTTTATGTGCATTGGTGTTTTGCCTGCATGTATGTCTGTGTGAGAGTGTCAGATACTCTGGAATTGGAGTTACAGACAATTGTGTATGTGGTTGCTGGGAACTGAACCCAGGTCCTCTAGAAGAGCAGCCAGTGCTCTTAACATTGAGCCATGTCTCCAGTCCAAGCTGGGTATAACTTTTGAAAATTAAATGACAGAAAATTTTCTTTAGCTCTGTCTCTTACGTACCTTAGACATTTCTCATTCCACTACCTAGCAGTCTTATGAGCAGCTTTGAGGCATTCATTAAACAATCACTATTTAAGCAGTCCATTTTTGGTGAGTGCATTCAATTTGACCACTCGACAAGCTGTTTCCCATTCTCTGTCCTTTGCAAGTATTTCTATGTTCATCTGGGATGTTTGATAGTATCTGGTTTTGGTGGACAGTGATACTGATCACTTAAAGTCTGGGAATTGTTCTCCCTTCTTTGACCTTTTGGAAGTTTATACAAAACCAGTATTATTTATTCCTAACAGATGTGTTAGATTCACCTGTGAAGCTGTCTGACTCTGGAACTCTCTTCATAGAAGATTTCTATCTACCAATTCAATTTAATGCTTTTAGGATCCCCTCCTCTTTCTCCACCTACTCTTCCTCTTACCTCCTTCTCCCCTCCTCTTCCTCTGACATGCTCTTACTAGGCAGTCCTGGCTGGCTTGGAAGTCATAGCATAGACTAGGCTGGCTTCAAACTTGCATCAATTCTCCTGCCTCTGCCTTCTGAATGTCTATCCATGTATCTATCGCCTGTCTGTCTGTCTACTTATTATTTTTTTTGTGTGTGATGTATGTACAAGCATGTGCCTGTATATTTTAGTACAGATGTGCCACAGCACAAGTGTAGGGGAGGGGCAGCTTTTTCTTAGTTAATCCTCTCCTTCCACCTCGTTCTGAGGCAGGCTCTCTTTTCTTGTCTCTGCTACTATACCGTGCACTGTTCCACAAGCTTTCCACAAGATTACAGAAGTGTACCACTGCATCTTGCTTTTTTGTTTTGTTTTTCGAGACAGGGTTTCTCTGTATTGTTTTGGAGCCTATCCTGGGACTCACTCTGTAGACCAGGCTGGCCTCAAACTCACAGAGATCTGCCTGCCTCTGCCTCTGCCTCCCTAGTGCTGGGATTAGAGGTGTGCGCCACTAACACCCCGGTTGTATCTTGCTTTTTAATTGTTACTTGGGTTCCAGGATTTTTGTGGCAAGCACTTTACCTCCTGAGCTATTTCCTTGGTCCTTAACTTTTTTTTTTTTTTTTTTTTTTTTTTGAGCCAGGGTCGAATTATGTAGCCCTGGCTCTCCTGGAGCTTGTAATGTAGACCAGGCTGGCCTTGAACTCACAAAGACCCATCTGACTCTGCCTCCTGAGTGCTGGAATCAAGGGTGTGTGCCACCACCCTTAACTGGTCTCGCTTGACAAACATTTCATGGGTATATGAAAAGTATGTGCATTCTAATGTTTCTTTTGGCTGTAGTACTTTTAAGTCCTCTGCAGCCTTACTGGTTTTAAGAGTTATGTAATCTATGAGTTGCCGTAAGCACTTTTGAGTTCACAGTCATACTCCTGTATTTTGGAAGGAAAAAAATAACTAATTTTGGAATTATTTAAAATGGATAAAAACATTCTATAAATCATTTCTGTTGTGGCCATTGAAATAGCCAAATTTTGCAATAGCTTGTAGACACAGCCAAGGCAGTGTCAATACCATGCCAAGCCTATTGGCTTTCCAGTGAACAAATACGAGTGAGGTATTGCTGCATACACTGCAAAGACCGTTGGCTTCAGTGCTCCCAGTCCAGCCTGAGTTATTTGCCCTGGTGACAGGTTTTGGAATCAAACATATATGGTTTTACACACCAGTTATGATATGTTTTGTAGTTAATGGACAACTCAGTTAACCTTGCCATGACTCAGCATCCTTTATCTATGAGATGGGAATAATCATATTCACTACCTGGCTTGTTAGGAGTCTTTTTGTTGTTGTTGTTGTTGTTGTTGTTGTTGTTTTTGTTTTTCGAGACAGAGTTTCTCTGTGGCTTTGGAGGCTGTCCTGGAACTAGCTCTTGTAGACCAGACTGGTCTCGAACTCAGAGAGATCCGCCTGTCTCTGCCTCCCGAATGCTGAGACTGAAGGCATGCACCACCACCACCCGGCTTTGTAAGGAGTCTTAAAGATGATCACAAAAAGCTCCTGGAAGAGCAATTGATGCTCTGTAAGTAGCAAATGATGACAGCTGCAACAGCAAGAGTAGCAACGGCTACAGGAATGGTACTTGTGGTTTTCATTATTAAACACATTTTAAAGATTTATTTTATTATTTTATTTCTGTGTGAGTGCCTGTATGTATGTGCACATGTGTGAAGTGTCCACAGAAGCCAGAAGAGGGCGTCATATCCCCTGGAGCTGGAGTTACAGGTGGTTGTAAGTTGCCCAGTGTGGGTGCTGAAACCAAACTCACGTCCTCTACAAGAGCCTTACGTGTTAACCATGGAGCACCCACCTTTTCAGCTCCTAAATAATATTTTAAACTACACTTACTATGTTATTGTATGACCTGTTATTACTATATATGCTAATGACTCACCACTTTCTTTTAGTTTTATCAGATTATTTTTCAACTTTTCAATTTCCAGTCGAGCATTCTCAAGTGCATCGTCTAAAATAAAACAAAAAGAAAACATATGTACAAAAAGTAAATGAGGGGCTGGAGAGATGGCCCAGCAGTTAAGAACACTGGCTACTCCTTCAGAAGACTCAGGTTCAATTCCCACAACCCACATGGCAACTGTCTGTAAGTTCAGTCCCTGGGGATCTGACACCCTCTTCTGGCCTCTTCAGGCATTGCATATTCAGGATGCACAGACATACATCAGGCAAGCATTCATACACATAAACATAAATACCCCCTGTGGTGGTTTGACTAGGAATGGCCCCAAAGACTCATGTGTTTGAGTGCTTGACCCATAGGGAGTGTCACTCTAAGGAGTTGTGGCCTTGTTGAAGTAGGTGCGGCCTTGTTGCAGGAAGCATGTCACTGTGGAGGCAGGCTTTGAGACTGCTTAGTGTGGCAGTCTCCTGCTGCTGCCTGCAGATCAAGGCGTAGGACTCTCAGCTCCATCTCCAGCACCCTGTCTGCCTGCATGGACTAAACCTCTGAACTGTAAGCCAGCCGTAAAAACGTTTTCCCTTATAAGAGTTGCCTTGGCCATGGTGTCTCTTCACAGCAACAGAAACTCTAACTAAGCCGTACCTTAAAAGCAAATCAGCTAGCCATTGTGGTAAATCCATTTAATCCCAACATCAGGCAGATTTCTATTAGTTCAAGTCTAGCCTACATAGAAAGACTTTGTCTCAAAACAACAACAAAAGAAAAAGAAGTAAATGACTCATATAACAATCAAGTTCATATCTTTTTCTTCTCTTTGAACAGCATCCATTAAATTTCAACAGAAATGTACCCTATCTGGAAGCTTTCCTGGGTTCCCTTCTAGTTTTCCTACTAAATCCCACATTTACTCCACAGACCTCTGATCTCAAACATTTCCAAACCATTCTCTCTCCTTTTATTTATTCATGAGACAGGGTTTTGCTATGTAATAGCCCTAACCTTCCTGGAATTCACCTTGTAGACCACCAGGCTGGCCTCAAACTCAGAGACCCACCTGCCTCTGTCTTCCGAGTGCTGGGATTAAAGGTGTGTGCCACCATACCCAGGCCTAATCTTATTCTCTTTTAAGATTAAGTTCTGAGGTGCTTGGATCACTGAAGTTACAAGGGCAGCTGGGTGTTTAAAGCATGCATAACAGTTGTGCCTCAGTTAAGGATAGGGGAGTATGTTCTGAGGAACGTGGTGATTTTATCAATGTAGAAACATCATAGGGTTTATGATGGATGGCTATAGTGTTATTAGGTGATATAATCTTATGGAACCACTGTTGTACATAGAAGATTTCTAGTTGACCAAAATGTGACTGTGTGGTGAATGGACTGTATTGAGAATTTTGTCAATATCTACTAGAAATGAAAAATAACAAAATCAGCCGGGCGTTGGTGGTGCAAGCCTTTAATCCCAGCACTCGGGAGGCAGAGGCAGGCGGATCTCTGTGAGTTCGAGGCCAGCCTGGTCTCCAGAGCGAGTTCCAGGATAGGCTCCAAAGCTACACAGAAAAACCCTGCCTCGAAAAAACTGCCCCTCCTAAAAGAAATGAAAATAACAAAATCTCAGGAATAGTTTTTGGTACTATGTTGGTCACTGTCCTCATCACTAGGATAAAATGCCTGACAAATGCATCTTAAGGAGGAAGGGTTGATTTGGGCTCAGTTCTACGGTACAGACTATCATGGCAGAAGGAGGGAGCACAAAGTCACATGGTACCCAAAGCCAGGAAGCAGAGAGATGCATGCCATGGCTCGGCTCACTTTCTCCCTTTTCTTTGGTTCAGGATCTGGGTGCTGTTCACATTTAGGATGTCTCTTCCCACCTCTGTGGACCCAATCTAGAGACTAGATCCAGGAAAGCTCAGAGGGTTGTCTTCTAGGTGATTCTAGGTCTGTCAGGTTGACAGAATTAACCATCAGGGGTACAAAGGATTACATGAGAACAGTAGGAGGCACTGGAGTTGATGGAGGTTTGATCTTCTAGTTCAGGTTTTATCCCTTAGCTTCTTGTGGGTTCCTCACTGTGATTGGTTGGCAGGTTTTCTAAACCATTAGAATGAAGGATCTGCTAACACTAATTGGCAAACACTGAGGTTTATAAGAGAACACTCCTAATCACATCATGAGTGCATCACTCAATAGTGTGTGTTTCATTATTATGCTGGCAACACTCAGATCTTCAGGGCAAATACCGCTATAGCCCACCAGGTTTGTAAGAAACTATATTCTAATTATAGCAATACTACTTCTGCTGCTGCCTCCAGGAGCAACTGCTCCTATCACCAGGTATAAAATTATGACAAATCTACAATGTAGGTGCCCACATCCCAATTTGTAGGCAACATAAACAAGTCAGAAAACTGGAGCAACCTGCTCAGTGCCAAGGGAAATAAATAGCATGACGGGGATGCAAACCCAGGGCTGTTTTCTCTGTGTCAGAGATGGGAGGTAGTTTCTGCATGGCTAAAACAAGTTTTCTAAGGTACTTCTTTATGTAAGGAGGGCAAGCAGAGGAACTGAAGGTGGAAAGAATATTGGAGAAGAGAGCAGCATGAGTAATGGAGAGAAGGCAGGAAGAACAAAGAGGAGGCAGGAGAGACACTGGGCCTTCTGGAAACTGCAGGGATCCAGAGCTGCTTGGGTCTGTAGAACAAGGGGTCGGGGCAAGTGTAGGATGTATGCTGTAGACAGACGGAAAAGCCTCTTTGCTCCCCCAACTTTAAGTGAACCAGGGCTTCCAAATGTTAAAAGTTCTGAGATGCTCTAGATACTCAGAAAACAGTTGGCTTTCAAAACTGGGCTGTGGATGCAGTGATGACACCCACCTGTAATCCCAGCACCAGGAGGCAGAGGCAGGAGGATTCTGAGTTTGAAGCTAGCCTGGCTTACACAGTGAGCCTGAGGCTAGCCGAAGCTACATAGTGAGACCCTGTTTCAAAAATAAAATCTCTGGGCTGGAGAGATGGCTCAGTGGTTAAGAGTACTGACTGCTCTTCCAGAGGACCCAGGTTCAATTCCCAGCAACCACATGGCAACTAACAACTGTCTGTGACTCCCAAGATTTGACATCCTCACACACACAGATACACATGCAGACAAAACACCAATGCACATAAAATAAAAATAAATAAGTTATTTTTAAAAATCTGCTTTTAGAATGACACAGCCAAATATATTGTTTGCCCAATTTAAACATTAATGGAGACAACCAGTTCCTGAAGCTTGGTTGGTCAGACAGCGCCTCCTGCCGTGTTGGTGCACAGTTTGACAACTCTGGCTTTTCATTAGCCTTAAATGAGTCACAATTCTACCTGGGTTGTAAATTTTCTCTTTTGAGAGAAGGCTTTGCTATACAGCCCAGAATAGAATTTACTCTGTTAACACTGGCCTTGAGTTTATAACCTCCTTCCTCAGCCTCGAAAATGCTGGCTTACCACCATGCTGGGCTTTGTTACATGTTTAAGACCTTTCTACCAGATTCACAGTTGTGCTTTCTAAGTCCACTTCTTTAGTTATTACTCTAGGTATGGTTGGGGTTTTCTTGTTGCTGTATTTTGGTTTTTGTTTGTTTGTTTTGACAGGGGATCTCTATTCTATAGCTGTGGATATCCTGGATCTTACTCTTGTAGACCAGGCTGGCATCAATCTCACAGAGATCTGCCTTCCTCTACCTCCTGAATTCTGGGATTAAAGGCGTGCACCACCACACCACCATACCCAGTGAGAGCATGGGCATATGGGTGGGATTGGGGGGGAGGCATGACAATACTTTATTTAGTCTTTTACCAAGATTATAGCAACAAAGGAATAAAAAGGTATGTTGAGTTGCATAAAATGAAAACCTTTTGCCCATCAAAGGACACTGTCAATAGAGGGAAGATCTGTGAAAAGTGCTGGAGAATATTCATGATGTCACACAAAGAGACAGACATGTGAACAATGCAAAAGGAACTCCATAAGGCAACCTCTACTTTTCCAAAACGATGAACAATGATCCACAGGGGTGAGCAGGCACACTTGGGCAGGAGGCCCTTAGAGTTCATCCTGAGGTAGGGCGGTGGGGGTGTTTCACTCTACAGCCTCACTATCTGATGTGACAGGCTCGTTCATAATGGTGCAGGTGTAGGGTGTGACCATTAATCTCAGGAATGCGTGGCATTTGAGGGTTGGATGAACAAGCATGGTTTCACAAGATGAGGGAGGTTTGTGGAATAGTAGGTTTTGGCAGGCTGGCCACATTTGCCAGAAAAGACTGCCTACAATTCAGAGGAGGCAGTATTTGAAAATCATCTGTCTCATAAGAGAGTAATACCCAGAATGTTTACAGTAGAAATCCCACGGTTAAAACATGGAAATCTCATGCCTATAATCCCAGCACTTCGGGAGGCAGAGATAGGTAGATTTCTGAGTTCAAGGTCAGCCTGAACTACAGACTGAGTTCCAGGACAGCCCAGGCTACACAGAGAAACCCTGTCTCAATCTCCCCTATCCCCGAAAAAGAAATCCTACTGTTAAAAAGCAGTAGTGGCTGGCTGAGTGTGGTGGTGGCATACACCTTTGATCCCAGGACTCAAGAGGCAGAGGCAGGCAGATCCCTAATTCAAGGACAGCCTAGTACACAGCAAATTCCAGGCCAGCCAGAGTTACATGGTGAGACCTGGTCCCCCAAAATAAATAGGGGCTGGAGAGATGGCTCATCGGTTAAGAGAAACTGGCTGCTCTTCCAGAGGACTTGGGTTTGATACTTAGCACTCACATGGTGGCTCACAACTGTTTGTTAATGCCAGTTCTAGAGGATTTGATGCCCTCTTCTGGCCTCCATGGACATATGATATACAGAAACATGTGCAGGCAAAATATCCATACACAGAAAATAATAAAATAAAATTGAAAAATATCAATAAAAGCTAGTTACAAAGAGTATTGAATAGACAGTTTTCATTATGTACATAGTTGATAAACACATAAAATATACTTAATATCGCTAGTCATAGAGAATAGAAATCAAAATCATAAAAATCATAATTAAGCAAAACTCTATGCCCGTTATGACTGTCATTACAGAAAACAAAACAAAACCCTGAAAAACAGCAAGGGTTAGCTTATCTTGCAGTAAAATGGAATGAAGCAGATATACCTGTTTCGTGGATGAATCTCAAAATCGTGTTAAGTGAAAGAAAAGAGATACAAACTCATGCATGATTCTATTTATAAGAAATGTCCAGGAAAGGCAACTCTAGAGACAGAAATAGATAAGTGCTCGCCTAAACTGGATTTGATAAATAAAGTTCTATTTGGCAAAACCAAAAGCAAATCTAAATATTTATAGTCAATAAAAAGGCATGAGTTTAGAATAGAGGCTTCTTGAAAGCCAAGAAACCAAAGTTGCAATGAAACAGAAATATCTATGGGAGACTTGAGCATGGACTCTGCCAAACTGCACACAATGTGAGCAGCCACCACAGCAGACACAAGAGCTTAGAGATTCTCACAGTGAAGCTGGTTAATGCCACCAGGATAGGCAGCATTACTAAGACTCATTAGCAAGCAGTGTGAGTGGTGCAACTAGACCTCTTATACTACTGAGGAGATCTTAACTATGCCCATGGGCCACTGTGGTGATATCTTGTTATACTCTAACAAAGAAAGCTTGCCTGAAGATCAAAGGGCAGAGCTAGCCACTAGTTAACCATAGAGGTCTGGAGGTCTGTACAGACAGATAGGAAGTGATATGACTGGGCAGAGAGAGGAAGTGATAAGGCGGGAGGAGACAGGAGTTCAGTCTCTTTTCAGCTGGGAAGTTGAGTAGGTACAGTGGCTGTGGTTTTGTTCCTTTGTCTCGCTAATCTCTCAGCATTTTCCCCTATATTTGACTCTAGGTTTTATTAAGACCTATTAGAACTCATGTTACAGGCCACAAAATAAATTTGAGTCACCATCAACCTCCCATACAGTGGCTAGCACACTCTGAAGTTCATGTAACAAGGAAATTACTTAATGACCTATTTTCTAGACCAAATCCTTATGGTTAAATGGCACATGACTGTATTTTTGAAGACCAAAGGAAAACATGCCCTGTGTCTCTGACACAGACACGCATTCTTATCCAGATTAGAAATGTGTAAATACCCACAGGTAAGTTTAAGAATGTTAATAGCATCAGAATTCATGCTAGCCCCCCTAAAGAAACAGCACAAATGCCCATCAACAGTAGAACAGATCAGTGTAGCATCAATGGGATATTATATAGGCAGTAATAGTGAACAGAAATAATATGAGTGGATCTTACAAATGTGAGACTAAGTAAGAAAACAAACAGAAAGAATGGATATTGTAGGCAAGATGGCTCAGGGGATAGAGGTACCTGCCCCAAGCCTGACAACTTGAGTTCAATGGTGGTGGTGACCCACATGGTAAAAGGAAAGAACCAATTCCTCCAAGTTGTTCTTTGACTTCCACATGTGTGTCTTAGCATGTCACCCACATTTGCAAGCATACCCAAAATAAAAATGTAATTTTAAAGTTTTTTATTTTTGAGACAAGGTCTCCCTATATAGCCCTGGCTGTCCTGGAACTCACACTGTAGACCAGGCTGTTCTCAAATCCCCCTGCTTCTGCCTCTCCAGTACTGTCCAGAACTGGGATTAATGATTGGTTCCCCCATACCCATTTTTTTTTTTTTTTTTGGTTTTTCGAGACAGGGTTTCTCTGTGTAGCTTTGGAGCCTATCCTAGCACTCACTCTGGAGACCAGGCTGGCCTTGAACTCACAGAGATCCACCTGCCTCTGCCTCCCAAGTGCTGGGATTAAAGGTGTGTGCCACCAACGCCTGGCCACCATACCCATTTTAAAGTTTTGTGGTTTTGTTTTTTTGTCTTTTTTAAGTGGGGGATTGGAGAGATGGCTCTAGCTGCTCTTCTGGAGAACCCAAATTCAATTCCAAGCACACACATGGCAGCTCATTACTGTGTGTATGTAACTCAGATTCCAGGAAATCTGATATCCTCTGCTGGCACCAGGCATGTACAGTACACAGACATACATGCAGGCAAACCATCCATACACATAAAATAGAAATAAATAAAACAAAAGTTTAAATGAATGGTACTGTACATGGTCAAAACTCAAAAACAGCATTCAAAATAGCGTTCTTGGTGGTTATTTTTGGTGAGGAAGAAGGATCTAGAGTTAGGGTGAAGGAACAAATAGGTCTTCTGGGTGCTGGGACTCCTAGTGGTGAGTGGCACACAGTCTGGCTTGTGCCTTTGGGGCGGGCCTGCCAAGCCTGTGTTTTCTGACGAATTGGGGACACAGTAGCAATAAGTCTTTTACATGTTCATTTTTCAGTCCTCTTCCCCTTGGCATATCCCCAAAGATCATTCCAGTAAATCCACAGCCAGAATGACCATCTGAAGCCATGGCTCACCTAACTTTCTCTGTTCTTTCTCCTTCTCTTGTGGCTCCTTAGCTCTCCTCTGGATCTCCTCCAAGGCCTCCTCCAGTCTCTGTGCCATGCATTCCACTTCCCTGAAGAGGCAATTCTGAGGCTGGTTATCTTTAGTCAGGTCTTCATTCTGATGCTGAAATGATAAGTTTAGTGATAAGCTATCAGCAAATGTACTCTTAAGACACGTGGCTCCTGTCTGGCTACAAGAACAGTAGAGAAAAGTGGCGAACAGCACTAATACTCATGTGAATTTCTTGGATTAGGTTAAACCAATCAAAATCATTGATACCTGAGGGTTTTTTACTTGTATAAAAACAATTTCACATGCTCCAAACCAACACACTAAGGGACTATGTTTATATGACCACAAAAACAAACACACGTATTGAAGGGACCAGCTCCCCATTTCAGCAGCCATAACAGCCGAAGACGTGCTTGTGTGACCTTGCCTTAGTCACTAGGAGGTCAGATGCCTGCCTTGTGGCAAGGAACAAATCAGAAGTTAACTAGTGGCGCTATGCTTTATGGCTCTGGGTGGGCTTTACGGACAAGGGCACAGCAATGAAATGCAGAGCATAGCAACCACCATGGGAGGGCCTATGGGCCATAACCAGTTGACCAATCAACACAGGGCAAGCCCTCCAAGCCTGGAGGCACACCAATCCTGAGCCTGTGTGTACCCCTAGACACTCCCCCTACTCTGCCCTATAAGATCTCTATGCAGACTGCTTCGAGCAGTCTTTTCTAGACATCTGCCGTGGTGGGTGGATGAAAGACCCGAGCTAACATGGGGTTAGCTTGGTAAACAACTATAATAAAGCCTCATGCAGTTTGCATAAAGTTTCTGCCTCCACATGGTGATTGGGGTGGCCGCGATCCTGGAGGCCTGAGCTTCCGGGGGTCTTACAGTATCATTTTACAAGAGTTGACATCAAGAACATGAATGATGCACTAAATAGTCTGCAGAATGTTTTTATTGGTTTCATTAATTCCAAAGTATGTACAGTCTTTTTTAAAAAGAGTTACTTTTAAAATTGTAATCATGTATGTGCACAGGCATGCAAGTGCTTGGAAGAGGCCAGAGCATTCTACTGGAGTTGAAATTACAGGAGGTTATGAGCTGCCTTACATGGGTGTTGGGAACTGAACCTCCGTCCTCTTCATGGATGCTCTTAAACAAAGAGCTATAGTTCTGTGTGACTCCCTGCCCCCCTTTCCTCCCCCACAAAAGTAAGTGTAGTCTTTTGTTTGTTTCTTTTGTTTTGTTTTGAGATAGGTCTTACTATTCATCCCAGGCTGGTTTGCAACTCACAGAGATCCCCAGGCCTCTTCTTCCAGAGTGCTTGGGATTAAAGGTCACAATGCCTGACCCAACAGGATCTTTTCAATGAATGGGGGATTAAACACAGGACTTCTTGCATATTTTATAGAAGCTCTTGTCCTCTGAGCTATATCCCCAGTCCTCAGTGATTTTTTTTTTTCTTGAGACAGGGTTTCTCTGTGTTATAGTCCTGTTTGCATCAAGCTTTCGCCTCTGCCTGGTGATTGGGGTGACCACGGTCCTGGGCTGAGACCCCAGAGGCCTGAGCTTTCCGGGGGTCTTACATTTGGGGGCTTGTCCAGGATTTGCGACCACCCCTCATCTGAGTGGATTCTATCTTGGAGGTAAGATGATTTGAGCTCGCAACTTATATGTTCATTGTTATGTTCATGTTTGTTTTGTTGGTTTGGTGCCATGACTTGAATTTGATCTGTGCCTGCGCAGGACTTGTATTTGGTAATTTGGACCTCAGGGGGAGACAGACGTGTTCTGAGACCCTGAGTCCTGCCTGGGACAAAAGTCCGAGGGTCATTTGATTTGGACCATAAGGAAAGCAGATGTGCCCCAGAAGCAGACATGTTCCTGGGACCCTTGGTTCCACCCTGGACGAACGTCCAAGGGTTGTTTGTAATTTTGGTTTGGTGCCATGTCTGTCTGTAATTTGGTCTGCCATTTGGTTTGTCCTGTCTGTTGTGTCTGTCCTGTTTTTGCTGTTTGTGTCTGTCTCCGTACTAACCACCCCCATCCCCAGATTCCACCTCAACTGTGATCGGCAGATGTGCCTGGAGGATCACAGACTGCTGCCCTGAGGACACCCAGGAGGTACGAACAGAGGCCAAGGACACTTGGACCTTCCTTAGTTAGCGGCAATTGTAGCCGCCTGGTTCTGCCGCCCATCTTTCCAGTGCCATTGCCTTATAAGTGGCAGAGATGGATAGGGTTGGCGTCTATTCTTTTCTGTCTATTGTCTCTGTGTTTTCATCACTGGTTTTCAATTCAGGATCCACCACGACACACCCTTTCATTGAGTCATGTGGTGCCACACTAGGTAACTTTCTTTTCCAGTCTTTGTTTCTGTATGGTTTCTGTAAAGCCTGGAGGGTTGGAATGGGCTGGGTGACTGGGCAGTTGAGCAGCAGGTTTGCTATCTGTGTTATCTAATGTGTTGCAGCCCACACGCCTGCTTTTCGGTGGTGTGTCAGTTTTGCATTTTCAGGTCTTCTGTTTCTGTTAATTTTGTAAATGCAAAGGTCCTATATTAGGGTCACTAGCAACATCTATGAGTAGGCCTACAAGAATTGTTTAGGGCAGAGGTTCGGGCAGCAGCGTTCCAAAATCTGTAGGGGAGACTTGGTTTCGGACCAAGTTAATCTCCATGGGGCTAGCCATCTGAAATTCTGAATAGGACCCTAGTCTTGTTAAGCATCTCTTTCTGTCCCTACTGCCCATGCACATGGCCTGCATGGGTTAGGGGTCTTTTCTTGCTGCCCTGAGCACATGGCATGGGACAGGAGTTCTGCCCTTGCACCACGGGTTAGAGTGTGCTGCGGCAGAGTCCCCTGAGGCTGCTGCTCAAAAAGGGCTTTGATAAGAATTTTTATGTTGACTGAGAAATGAGAGAGAATGTAGGAGACTAAAGTAATAAAGAGAGAAAGGGAAAGAGAAATTTGTCTAAGAATGTCTAAGAAAATCAGAGGAATAAACTAAAGGTATATAGAAAGTTATAAAGGATTAAAGGAAGTCGTAGAAGGTCAGAGGAAAGGTTGTTAAAAGTCAGAGAAAAAAATGTAAACTGTTTGTTATGGTTTCTTATGTCTACAAATAGTAAATTTTAAAAATTGGTTAATATAAATTAAAAATTTTGATCACATTAGGTTAATTCTGTTTTAAAAGTCCTGTTTATTTCTCAAGTAATTTATGTAAGCTTGTTTTAAAATGTTCTGTTTCCTGGCATAACCTAAGTTCTGTTACAAGCATAGCTAAAACAAAAGGTGCAGGGCACCGCCATTTTGTAGCCAGTTTCATGGCAAACTGGTCACATGGCTGACTGGTAGCCATTTTGCTGAAGTTAAAAATAGATACTTAAACCACCATCTTGACTAAAGATGATCACATGGAAATTAGAGGTACCATCTTAGAAACAAATTTTCAGTTAAGATTTAAATTGTTAATGCTTCTATATATTACAGAAAGACATTAAGGGAATTTAAATTTCTTTTTAAAAACAGTTTTTTAAATGTTTATGTTTTTTAAATATTTTTATTAATATTTGTACTTAAAGAGTTTCAATTTAGAATCATTTTTAAGCAAAGCCTGACAACGTAAAGTTCTTGTTCTATAAAATCTGATAATCTATTATAGGATGTTACAGTTTATGTTTTCAGAAGTTAAGTTTAGGGCGTTGGTGGCACATGCCTTTAATCCCAGCACTCGGGAGGCAGAGGTGGGTGGATCTTTGTGAGTTCCAGGCCAGCCTGGTTGGCAGAGAGGATTCCACGACAGGCTCCAAAGCCACAGAAAAATTCTGTCTCAGAAAGAAGTTAAGTTTCAGCAAGCAGCTAAAATGTGTACATGAAGCTACTGTTTAAGGACTATATGCAGTTTTAAATTCAGCTGTGCTAAGTTTCAAATATTTTACTAAGTTAAAAACCAGTTACAGTCAGGCTGAAAATTAATTACAGAAATAAGACCTTACCTAGCCACCTGTATGTTTAATGTGTGCTTAAGGCAAGTAACTAAAGCAGACAAACAGACCTCTAATGCTTCAGAGACCTGCAGAATATGGCATTTAAATTGTTATCTTTAAAGTTTATAATATCAGACAGACTGCCAGATCCTGACAGTGACTCAAAGTCTCCAAAGAAGATTATGAGGCACCCCAGTTCTTGCACCTGGACCGGTGAGCGAGATGCTCAGATGTGATACCTGCCGCCTGCCAGGACCTGACTGAGACTGTGGACAAAGCTGCTGGACACTGGAAAATTGATTACACCCCCTTTGTCTAGACAAAACAAGGTCAGTCTTTTCCATGTCCCTCTTCCACAGAGAGAAAAAAAACCTCTCACCTTATAGGCCTGGCGAAGATTGCTGTTCTTTGAGACATCTGCCTCCATCGATAATGGAGAGACTTGGGTGTGGCTAACTGTATATGGACTGGCTTCTAACTGGCTTCTGTCACTTTTTAGTAGATTCGGATAAAATATACCCTTCTCAGATCTCTGAAATATTAATGGTTGCCAGCTTGACAGCATCAGACTATAGGCTATAGTCAGCATGTTAGCTGATAAAGTAATGACTACCTACTGTTCAGTCACAAATTCAAGGTTTTTAAGTTTATTTTTGTTGTCATCTAAGTGTAAACTTAAAGGGCTTTTCATCAGGCCAAAGTCACCTCTGTCCAATCCACACCTGGCTCTCTGGACAGAAGAAAAGTGTACATGCTTCTAGCCCAAATCTGTAGTTATTGCTAGGACTCAAAGTTATAAATATGTTCCTGCTGTTTGAACAGATGTCCAGATATCTGCTTTTTCTGCACTGTGGGCTTCAGTATATAAGTTTTAACTTCTGTTCCTAGTTTACACATGTCTTAAACAGGTTTCTGCTTCTGGCAGACACATCTGAGTATATCAGTTGCTGACTGCAGGCTGTTCTAAATAGACTGCGAGCCCTGGACTTGCTGTGGATATGAAGCAGTCCAGCTGATATGGGCACCCCCTGTCTCTGCAACAGAGTCTGCCAACAGTCCCTGATGGATTCCCCATTGCCTAAATTCCTTTTTTTGTTTTTGACTAGCATTTCAACCTTCTGGGGTCCCTAACTTTGTCCCAAAGTCAGTAGGAAGTAGAATGGGAAAGAATACGCCGCCCATTTTCCCTGGTTAAAATGATAAGTCAGAATGAACTCCCTTACATGGGGATGCCAATATCTCTCACTCCCTGATGGGGACACTAGAGAGACAGCAATTCCATGATTGGAATTACAAAAAAAAAAAAAAAGGGGGGAATGAAGGGACCAGCTCCCCATTTCAGCAGCCATGACAGTAACACGTGCTTGCCATGACCTTGCCTTGGTCACTAGGAGGTCAGATGCCTGACTCGTGGCAAGGAACCAATCAGAAGTCAGCTAGTGGTGTTAAGCTTCATGACTCTGGGTGTGCTTTACGGACAAGTGCACAGCAATGATGTGCAGAGCATAGCAACCACCCTAGAAGGGCCTATGGGCCATAACAACCAGTTGACCAATCAACACAGGTTAAGCCCTCCAAGCCTGGAGCCACACCAATCCTGAGCCTGTGCATACCCCTAGACACTCCCCTTACGCTGCCCTACAAGATCTCTATGCAGCGGGTTTGAGCTGTCTTTTCTAGCCATCCACCATGGTGGGTGGATGAAAGACCCGAGCTAACATGGGGTTGGCTCATTAAACAACAAAGAAGCCTCAAGCAGTTTGCATCAAGCTTTCGAATCTGCCTGGTGATTGGGGTGACCGAGGTCCTGGGCTGAGATCCTGGAGGCCTGGGCTTTCCGGGGGTCTTATACCTGCCAAGCTATTAGCCATTTAATTCTTTATTAGACCAATCAGGTTTTAGATGGGCAAAGTAACACAGCTTCACAGAGTTAAACAAATGAAACATAAAGAATGCAACAAATCTTTGCATCATTATACAAATGTTACACAGCATAAACGAATGTAACACATCTTAAAATAATATTCCACAACAAAAGCCATTCCAATGGCTTTCTGACATTTTAGTGAATGGCTGATTAGATGAATGGATGCTGATTCAATGGGCCTGCTTTTAGGTCAGTTATCTAGTTAATTTGAGAATACCTGGGGGAATTCTTTCTGCAGGCTACTGCCTGGGTGTCTTCGGGACTCCAGCATGGAGTCCACAAGTCCCGGGGCTGCCCCTAGCATCCTCCTCTCTTCCAGTGAGCACTCGGTCTGTTTACTGCAGCTGTTCAGAGCTATTCTAGATAAGCCTTCTTGACACATTTCTTTGGGTTCCCTTATTTAGGCTTCTGCTGGGAACAAATAACAGAAAAATTGTTAAAAAGAACTGTAGGCAAATAACTGTTGTTTTGTAAAACACCAAGAAAGTTCTTAATTAGAATTTAATGATTAATAAAAATAACACTGAAACAGCCCTCTCCTTCCCATCTTCCCAGGGTGTTTGAAAATGTTCAGAAACAATAACATAAGGGTGGGACTGTGGTGACATTATTTATGATTTATTAAAGCTTGCACCGGGTGTTGGTGGCACACGCCTTTAATCCCAGCACTCAGGAGGCAGAAGCAGGTGGATCTCTGCGAGTTCAAGGCCAGCCTGGTCTCCAGAGTGAGAGCCAGGCTCCAAAGCTACACAGAGAAACCCTGTCTCGAAAAACCAAAAAAAAAAAAAAAAAATGGGTATGGTGGTACACACCTTTAATCCCAGTACTGGACAGTACTGGAGAGGCAGAAGCAGGTGGATTTGAGAACAGCCTGGTCTACAGTGTGAGTTCCAGGACAGCCAGGGCTATATAGAGAAACCCTGTCTAGAAGAAAAAATAAAAACTTGCCTGAGGATTCAGAAAGCAAAGTCAGCCGCAAGCCATAGAAGCCAAGGCACATACTTTTAATCACAGCAGCCAGAAACTAGGTGGTGGTATACACCTTTAATCCTAGGACTCAGGATTAACAGGTAGACAGATCTCTCTGAGCTCCAGGCTATGCAGGGATACACAAGATTGAATCAGTCTAATAGAGTACCAGATCACAGGCTTTTAATCCCAGCACTAGAGGGGTATAAAAGATAGAAGCAGGGTCTTCAGTAGTCGGTATGAGGCATTCATTCTCCAGCCATGCTGAGGAGAGTTTACAGTCTGAGGCTTGGTGAGAGCTCGTGGAGACAGGATCAGCCCATTCAGCCTGAGGTAGAGGTAAGAAGCTGGTGGCCAGCTGCTTTGCGTTTCTGATATTCAGCTTGAAGTTTTAAACCCAATATCGGCCTCTGGGTCATTATTTTTCGTGTTACAGTGGGACATGGTGGCATACACTCAATCCCAGCACTTGAAAAGCAGAGGCAGGGGAACCATGAATTTGAGGCCAGGCTGTACTACATAGTGAGACCTTGTTTTAAAACAGAAAGAAAAGGGGCTTCTCATCCATAGAGTTTTGTACTCAGCACCCACACAGGGTTACTCACAACCACCTGTAACTCCTTCAGGAGATCTCATGCCCTATTCTGGCTTCTGCTGAGACACACATGTGGTAGGCACGCGCACACACCCACACATAAAAATAAAATCTTGGAAGAGAAAGAAAGGAAAGAAGGTGGTAGAAAGGGAGGGAAAGATGAAAAGGAGGAAGGGAAAGTCCCAGCACTCATGAGGCAGAGGCAGGTGGATCTCTGTGAGTTCGAGACCAGCCTGGTCTACAAGAGCTAGTTCCAGGACAGCCTCCAAAGCCACAGAGAAACCCTGTCTTGAAAAACAAAAACAAAAACAAAAACAATTCATCTTGTAGTGCCTTCTTTCTTCAACTGATCTGCACTACATGGTGCACCCCTAAAATCCGTTCACTCTTCCATGAAAGTGAAGGGACCAGCTCCCGGTTTTGGGAGCCATAACAGTCTAGCACGTGCTTGCCTGACCTTGCCCTGGTCACTAGGTGGTCAGATGCCTGCCTCGTGGCAAGGAACCAATCAGAAGTTAGCTGGTGGTGCTATGCTTTACGGCTCTGGGCATGCTTTACGGACAAGTGCACAGCAATGACGTTCAGAGCATAGCAGCCACTCTGGTAGGGCCTATGGGCCATAACAACCAGTTGACCAATCAACACAGGGCAAGTCCTCCAAGCCTGGAGGCCTACCAATCCTGAGCTTGTGCGTACCCCTAGACACTCCCCTTACACTGCCCTGTAAGATCTCTGTCCCATGGTTTCTCAGGGTCTTTTCCTAGCCATCTGCCATGGTAGATGGATGAAAGGCCAGAGCTAACATGGGGTTAGCTCATTAAACAACTGCAATAAAGCCTCTTGCTGTTTGCATCAAGCTTTCGCCTCCGCCTAGTGATTAGGCCGAGATCTTGGGGGTCTGAGCCTCTGGGGGTCTTTCAAAAGATTTCATTCTGCATTGTGACGTCCTGTTGTTCTGCTTGCATTCTTGTCTAGCCTCTTTTATTCGGTGTTCTTTCCAGACTCCTCTTTTTCTATGGATACTTAAATGCTGTCATTCCCATGAAACCACTTTGACTCTCTGCTCTCCTCTGCTGTGGCAGCAGCTTGGCACATCTTGGTTCAATAGATGGCTGCATCACTGTGTAGCTGTTAGACATCTTTAACTTCTTACTTCCCCATTTATATAATAATGGTGTCTATTTCACTGAGTAACTGGATTAAATAACATGCTGTCTTTAATGTTCCAGATCCATCTAGAAAAGGCATGGTAGGTTACTTCTGTGATCCCAGTGCTCAGGAGGCAGAGGCAGGAGGACTGCAAGTACAAGGCTAACCTGAGCTACCTAGCAAGACCCTGTCTTTTAAAAAAAAGCAGCAAGAAAGAACAACATTCAAGTTGGAATAAACATGTATATGGCTGAGAATTCAGATGTTCTTTAATTTTAATTTTTACTTTCCCTTCTTCCTCAGAAATAAGGTTTAATGCTTAACGATAAAAAAAAGCTGCCTTCCTTATTGCTGTACATACTCATGTGACCAAGTTCTGACCAATAAGAGTGTGGTGGTTTGAATGAAAATAGCCCCCATAGACTCATAGGGAGTGGCATTATTGGAATTGTGGCCTTGTTGAAGTAGGTGTGGCCTTGAAGGAAGTATGTCATTGGGGTTGGGCTTTGAGGTCCCAGATATTCAAGCCTGGCCTAGTGTCACTCTATTCCTGCTGCCTGCTGATTTAGAAGTAGAACTCAGCTACCTCTCCAGCACCATGTCTACCTGCATGCCACCATGCTTCCCACCATGATGATAATAGCCTAAACCGCTAACCTGTAAGCCAGCCCCAGTTAAATGTTTTCCTTTATAAGAGTTGCTGTGGTCATGGTGTCTCTTCACAGCAATAGAAACCCCACCTGAGACAAGGACACAAATGGCATTCTGCACTGCTTATAGGAAGTGCTCTTTAAGGGCCAGAATTCCTCTTCCTTCCTATTTCTACTGACTGGAATTCAAATATGATAGCTGCAACCCCAGTAGCCATTCTGACCCATCAAATGGAAACCACATGCTATGGCTGACAAAAATAACCCAAAAGAAGAAACCTGGATCTCTTACAGTTCCAAGACGCAGCCTACAAAGTATGAGCAATTTTCTCTTTTCTTTTTAAGTATTCTTGTCTGTGTATATGTGTAGGGACAGGCACATGCATTCCACGTGTAAGGTGATGGAGGACAACTTCAGGGAGTCAGTTCTCTCCTGACGCTGTGCTGAAGCAGGGCTTCTCTTGTTTTCACTGATGTTCATACTCTGGGTTAGTTGACCTGTGGGCTCCTGGACCATTCTCCTGTCTCCACTTCCCAACACACCACAGTAGTGCTGTGATTGTAGATGCAAGCCATGACACCCATCTAACAGCCCCTTTCCCTTTCACATCAGTTGTCTTCCCCCTGATGATTCGTACATGTGAGACAAGCACTCTGTTGCAGAGCTGTAGTCCCCACCCACTCAAGCAATTATTGTCTTGAGCTTCCTGTCACTCACAGCCTGTTTGTTCCTTATTACCTCAAGAACTGTATTGAAAGGAGAAACTATAAAGACAGCAAGTGTGGTAGTGCACACCTGAGATGGCAGAAACAGAAGATCAGGAACTCAAGCTCAGCTGACCCTGAGTTGTAATCCTTCCACTTTTACCTTCTAAGTGCTCAGGGACTCTTAATTTTTTTCTTTGACAGGGTCTCACCATGTGGCCCTGACCAGCATGGAACTCCCTGTGTAGCCTAGGCTGCCCTTGAATTCACAGAGCTCTGCCTGCCTCTGCCTCTATTGCTGAGATTAAAGGTGTGCGCCACCATGCCTGGCTTCCTGATGCGCTTTTGTCTGGGTTGCTCCATGAATCCTCCTTCTCAGCAGGACATACTTTGCTGCTGCCCATCAGCAAAGCTGAAACAGCTCTTCTAGCTCTAAGCCCACACATCATTTCAGAATAGGCCAATGCTTCGTTTCTCTCCGTTCAAACTTTGAGACCATTGGTTCCGTGTATAGTTCTCATTCAGTGAGCTGTAAGTGGAGTGGGTTGGAAGCATTAGCACAGATGTGCTCTCTTAGACCTAACGTTCAAGAGAGGACAGAAGGAGGAAAACAGGGACACAGGATAGAAGGGCAATATACAGTGGGTGGACTCAGACCAGTGCACATCCAATTGTCAACAGAACAACTCGGCCTGAATAACCCATTTCCCCTCTACCTTCTGTATTCCATAGTTATCATCACCAATGATACAGCCTGGGTGTCATCCTCAATTCCTCCCCATCCATCATATCATCACAGTCACCAAATCTGCAGCTGCCAGCCCTTTTCTCACTTCTGATTCATCTTCTCCATGCTTGCTGGCTTAGTGTAGGCACTCATGACATGCTCAGAAGAGCACAGCAGCATTTGTAACTCGAGTTGCTGCTGCCATGCTGGTGCCCATCCAATCTGCTCTGCAAGCCCCCGGGAGGCTCATTCTGAATGCAGATCACTTGCTGCTTAATGTTTTCATGGCTTTCAGGAAGAGTTCCAACCCCTTTGCTTTGCACCCGAGATTTTCTACAGCCTGGTTCCTGCCTGTCTCACTTCTTCTGAGCCTCTTCTGCGCTAGGCTTTCATGCCATCTGCCCACTGCTCCCACCATGCTGCTTACAGTTAGTGCCTTGACTCTGCAGGTCCAGGTCCCTCTCCCTGGGATGGTTTTAGGACATCCCAGAACAGTATTTCCCCCCAAGTGAACTCAGATTTGGTGGTTGAGAAATCTTAAAATTCTAACACAGCAGATCTTGAGGTGATAAAACATGTCCTTTGAATTATAAATTCTCTGATATTTACACTGTACCTAAATCTGCCCCCATTTAACAAAGTATATGAG